CACTATGAAAATAGCTAAAATACACCAGTCTAGGTGTTTCTACATCGGTTAATTGACGAATTTTGTAAACCGCGTATGCTGCAGAGCTGAGTCTATTCGACAATCCGTCAATGTGTGGGCCCCATTGCAATTTAGAGTCTAGTGTTATACCTAAAAACTTGGTGGTGTCCACAAGATCCAACTCCTTTCCATTTATTAGAACATTGGTCTTTACCTGCTTAACATTAGGTGTAAAAAATCTAATACATTTCGTTTTATTCTCGTTTAAAAGTAAATTATTAACATTAAACCAGTTCACAACCTTAGAGAGAGTGCTATTCACGTCATCAGTTACTGATTGCTGTCGTTTAAGTTTAAATAACAGTGAAGTGTCATCCGCAAACAGTACTATCTCCTGATTATCATTTATCACATTAGGTAGGTCATTTATGTAAACAAGAAATAAAAATGGGCCGAGAATTGAGCCCTGCGGAACCCCCATAGTGACCAGAGACCCCAGGGATCTCTGTCCATTAACTTCCACTCTCTGGATCCTATTACCCAAATAAGAGATAAGAAGATCCAAAGCAGTGTTCCTAATTCCATAGTAATGCAATTTCCTGATTAATGTTTCATGGAAAACGCAGTCGAATGCTTTAGATAAATCACAAAAAACACCCAGGGCATCCTGTTTATCCTCCCAGGCACTAAATATATTTTCCAAAGTTCAACACCGGCATCACTTGTCGAGCGACCTCTTCTGAATCCAAACTGTTTCCTGTGTAGAATTTTGCTTGCACTAAAGTGAGTTTGTAGCTGATCCAGTATAATCTTCTCAAAAATTTTACTGAAAGTAGGCAACACTGAAATTGGTCTATAATTTGTAGGATCAGACGTGCTACCCGCCTTGAATAAGGGAATGATCTTACTATGTTTCATCAAATCAGGAAATACACCACATTCAATGCACCTATTGAAAATTAAGGCCAACTCTGATGCAACTACGCTAATAATTGATTTAGTTATTTGTACAGAATTACCCCAAAGGTCGGCGGTTTTCTTAACACTAAGAGCATTGAACGTTTTTATTATATATCTATCAGTGATACAACTAAATCTAAACTCGGTATTACAAATGTTAATATTCTCTTTCAATAAAGATCCTGCAATAGTGGGGGACGAATTCAATGATTCTGTTATTCAGACTGGAATGTCTGTGAAATTTTTTTCAAAAGCTGTGGCGACATCTATATCGGAATTAATTACTTTATTATCAATAGTAAGGCTGTAATTATTACATTTGTTCTTTGCTTTACCAGTTTCTGTATTAATTATTTCCCAGGTCATTCTAATTTTATTTGAACTATTACTAATTTTAGACCTCAAATAGTTAACTTTTGCAGAATAACAATTTTTTTTAAATAAATTAGAATATTGTTTGACATATTCTCGAAATTCCATACTAGTATTATAATTTCTTTCCTCATAAAGCTCATAAAGCCTTGTTCTACTTTTGTATATACCTATGGTGGCCCATTCACTGAAGGTTGTAGCACCTTTAACTGACAACTTCTTAGGAGTGAAAGTTGATTTAAATTCTGAACAATACATGTTAAAAAAAGCGTTATATAATTGATTAGGATCATCACTATAACCCAAGTGGGGTAGTTTACTAAGGAGTTTATTTTTGAAATTTTCCATACGAGTTACAGTTTTAGGTACTACAGTAATATCTCGTGTTACCACCATTCTGTTTTTCATAGCAAAAGCACACATCTGTCCACAGTGATCAGAATTTAGTTTGTTTATTACTCCTTTGGTGTGTGGCACTATGTCAGTAAATATATTATCTATGCACCTGGCTGTGGTGGCTGTGATCCTAGTAGGCTCCAAAAAAATATTATCAAGATTGTATGACCCAAATAGGTTTTTAAATCTTGAACTCAAGGATGTATCTTCCAATATATTTACATTAAAATCACCATACACAATTACACTTTTGTTTGACTTACATACTTTCTGCAAGACTTCGTTCATAATTTTTTCAAAACTAATATATGATGAGGATGGAGGCCTGTATACACTCAATACAATAAGTTGCTCTAACTCCACACATGCTATTTCTATTGTCCGCTCAGCAGAGAAGCCTAAAATATCAGTACGGTTCCTATAAGTTAAATCCTTTCTAATAAAAATTAATGAACCGCCATGTACAGCACGCTCCCTACTGAACGAACTACCTAATATATGATTACTGAAGTTGAACATGAGCTGATGACTTTTTAGCCAATGTTCTGTAATACAAAGAATATCAATTTTGTCACAGCTCATGAACAATTCAATTTCTAGGTGCTTACTAGACATTCCTTGAATATTTTGATGCGCTACCTACAGTGAAAGTGTTGGTTGTACATTTCTTTGATACCATTCTGTATGGTAAATTTAAGCTAGCGGTTACCTCCTTTGTCCCTACATCTAGTTTAAAATATGTGAATTCATAGCCAAACCCTTGGCTGGATCAATATAAGTTGCCTGTGCAACTGGTTTAATAGCCAAGTTTTTGGCTGTTATATCAATAAAATAAGATAGCGATATTGCTAACTGTCGTTTACAAAACAATGAAAGATAACACCTATCTTTCGTCATATATATATATTGTCTAACATAATTGTTAGTGTCAATTATATGAAACTTCATATTGTAATTTGACATGTTGTGTAACTGCATATTTAACTTATACCTAAGGTTATTTTCTTCCTCTGGCAAGCCTTTACTATATGGCAGTGTAAATATGATTGTCTGTTTCAAATTAAATGCACATAGTTTATTATAATAATGCAGCAAACTCTGCCTATCTAAATTGCTCCTATTTCCAATTAAAACTATCAAAATTGTATCCTGGCTGAACATAAGACTGGAAATTTTTGTTAATATTTGACAATAATCTAAACCAGGCATACACAAATTAGTTATTAATAAATCACTGCACATATTTCCCAGCAACTGACCCATACCCTTCCCAATCTCATCACTGAATATTACAATTTTATTTCTTTTAGCTTCTGAGTTTTTCTTTGTTATAAGGGATGTCTTATTATTATTTGCTAACAACATGGGGGTGCCACAAGCCAGGTCAGAGTGAACCGGGGAGTGCCGACTACTAAATGAGTCATTTTCTATCAACAATTGAGCATGGTTACAGTTACACGAATCAGAATTCACCAGCTCATTCATTGCCAGCATGTACTCCCTCATTTGCTTTTCGGAACTCTCATATTTGTTGGTCATAGATACTAACTTCTCATTAAGACCTAACTGAGAATGAAGGTGTTGTGTTTCATAGTCATGGTTCAAGTGACAATTTTTTTATTTTTCTGAGTACATATCTAATTTTCCAAGCAATGACAGCCTCTCTCTATTCAATTTGACATTTTTAATGAAAAATTTTTGCCTATTTACCAACTTTTGTGTTTTTCTTATATATCTATTAATTTTGACATATTTTTTTAATTTATTTTTACTACATTTAACAATCCTAATTGATTTATTCATAACATCATCACAGGTGAGATCAATGGGCACAATAGGCATTTGGTTATTGACAGTGACCATATTTGGGTCATTGGTCACCAGCTCATCGAAGAGGCTTTGGTTCAACGTAATGGTGGTGCTTAGTTGAGTCATTTCTAACTGCAATAATTTAGTGTTTGACTCATCCAATTGACGTTCTAAATGCTTTACACGATCTAGAGCATGCTCATACTCAGCACTGCACCGGCTGAACCCATCCACAATGAGCTGAAGCCTATCCCGGGCAGCAATGGCTTCAGTGCATTGTGTATGAATCTGGGCTAGTTCTAACTTAACCTGCTTATTTTTCTCAATTAGGCCTAGTAATTCTTTCTCATTATCATCTCTTTCCGCAATCAGCTGGTCACACAACTGCTTAGACTCCTTTAGCTTGCTCAACGCCAATTGGAGTTTGGACTCCTCTTGGCGAGCAGCTAAAGCTCTGCGTGTCATCATAGTTGATTAAATCGAAATGAAATGTGATAATCAAGGATTGAGAAAGTTATATGATAGGAATTAAAACGAAAAATTTAGTGAAGGTGGACAGAAAAAGATAAAATAATTATGCAAAGTAGTTGTGTCACCGAACTAGATTAAGGTTATGTTTACGTTCATATAGTAATTTAGTACAATTAGTTTTATTATATATATATAGCTACTATTCCCTACGAATTATCTTTACAATTTTGCCATTTTTATGGTAGTTTGTTTAACCTTTAACAAAACACGATTCTCAATGTAAACTTCCTAAGATACAATAGTTCTGCCTTTTAATGACTATCGATATGAAATTTATGCTTTAAAACGATTCTGACTATGAACTTTCGGCGATATGATAGTTCTACTGTTTAATTATTATGGATATGAAGTTTATGCCTAAAGATGATTAAGACTAAAAAATTATGAGTTTTGAATGTATGATAAATGAGTATCTGCCAACCGATTTTCTGCAAAATGAGGTTTGTGCTATCCGTTGTTATGCCAAATAATATTATGACATAAAAATTTCTGCTATAAAGGGCAGACTCCAAAATGAGACTTGTAGAGTCAACTAACGGATAATAAAGAAAATGGAGGTTATCAATTTCACGATTTTTAGACCCATTTTGCGATAATTCTATCCGACTATAAATTGTTAACCATAGAATAACCAGGCGAAGCACCTAAAAGTATAACACGGGTAAGAAACGATTATAATATTTTTTTCTCATGAAAGTGCCAGCCAGTGCCTAGACAGATAAAATTTAAAAAATTTAAAAAAAATTGTCAACTTCAAATACTTCAATCAAAGTTCTCAAGTTGTCAAAATGATGCTTGTCAAATGAGGAGAGAATAAGAGAAGTGTTTTATTATACTACATATTTTAATTAATGGTTTATAAACCATTAAAAATATAAAGTGAAATAATTTTCATTGGTGTTTGATTCAAGTTCCTTAGCGAAAGTGTTATCATGGCCACTACTAACTTAAATATTTTGAGAAATGCTCTAAACAAATTAAGGTTATAGTTTTAGTCGTACTTACTTTTATTTTGTCCGAATAGGATGTATCTAACTGATCGTTTTTCAATTGCAGAATTGATCATGTCTTCACGAGATCATTTCAGACACCTAAATTTCGGCCTCCTCACTGGTATTTACCTAAAGATAGAGTGGTATGTATTTTAATAATAGATATAGATCTAATTCTAAGCTCTATTAGATATATATCCAATTAAGATTTTAAAATATTTTAAACCTTTACAGGGTTCAGGGGAAAGTTTAACTCAAGAAAATAAAAAATTCATTGAAGAAGTTATGCAAGAAAGAATGAAAGCACAGGCTATGTTAGAAACAGAATCCCCTCTTTCCAACATTGACACCAGTCAGACTGCTCAATGGAATCCTTTAACTCGTCGTGTTGGACTAATTGCTCGGAAAATAGGGAATTATCCTTTATGGTCCAAAGATGGAAAAAAAGTACAAACCACCCTATTGCAGGTTCATTTGTAGAAATTTTTTTTTTCATTTAAGTAAACCTCATTAAAAATGTGTATTGAAATCCTGTTTGCCATAAAAATGCAAAACCAACTACTATAAATACATAACCACTCTGTATATATTTCAGGTTGTAGACAATCATGTTATAAAATATATTCCTCCAGAAGAATTTAACCCAATGATAATTAGGAAACCTGTATGGAAAGAAAAGAAAAAACTAGGGTGCTTATTAGTAGGTGCAGAGACTATAGATCCTAGTACTGTTACAAAGGAGTACTGTGGGCTATTTAACCAAGTGGGAATGTTACCAAAGAGAATTCTTTGCAGGTTTATGGTTTCCCCAAATGCATGTCTGCCATCGGGGACACCATTATTTGCTACACATTTCAGAGTAGGGGATCACATAGACATAAGATCAAAAACGTAAGTACATAAAAAATATATATTCTAATACTCTTTTGGTCAAAACACAACTGTTCTATAACCTAAATATTTTCAGAATGGACCGAGGTTTCCAAGGTGTAATGAAGCGCTGGGGATTCAAAGGAATGCCTGCTTCTCATGGTGTAACTAAAACTCATAGAAGACCGGGAAATATTGGAGCAGGGGGTGAAAAAGCCAGAGTATGGCCAGGTACTAAAATGCCTGGTCACATGGGTAACAGGTATGTGCCATGAAATTATAATCATATTAAACTTTTGTTTAATAACTGTAGAGCTGTCATCATTTCCCCAATAATAATAATAACTTCACATATGGTAGTCTGAATCCAAACTAAGCAGAGCCTGTACTATGGTAACCAGCCAGCTGATAATAATAATATACTACCACAAATATTCTACCTGAGGTCCATGTATTATGACTGCATGTACACATGATGTTGCAAATTAAGAAAACAAAAAAAGACCTTTGGAATAGCAGTCCGTTACAAAAACCACTACACCATCCGTCGTCAAAAACAACTGATGGACTGAGTCTTTGTGACTGACTGATTTCATGTAGATTGTGGCAGCAACAATCATTGTAATGACTAATATCAGTATGTCGCAGACGTCACTTTCTGCAAAATGTCATCTTGAAAAAATTGGTCAATCTCGCATAATGTCACTTTCATAAAACGTCATTTTTTCAAAACGTCATCTTCGTACGTTCACTCTCGCAAAACGTCTTTTTCGGCAGAATGTCATGTCATTTTTTCTCAGGAGAGACCATATTTTACTTTTATTTATTAATATATATATATATATATATATATAAACTCGGTTCCAAAATAACGGGTCAGTCACATAAACCCGAATATCTCCCGAACTACGTATGCCATCCTAATGAAACGAAGACTGTTCAATTGAGAATTTAATTATACAGATAAAAAATAAAATAAAACTTAAATCTAAACTCCCTAACTCTTAACTTATCTCTAAATTAAAAAAAAAACTAAAGTAGTCATATTTTTCTTAAGATTACATTTTTTTATGATTGTTTTTTTTGCTGTATTTCATCACTTTCTTCATTTAATACTTTGTATTGCCTCCACAAGCTCTTCTGACAGCTTCCAGGCGATTAGGCATGCCGTACACCAAATTTCGGAGCCGGTGCTGAGGAATACCTTCCCATTCCCAGTGCTTGTTTGAGCTCGGGAAGCGTGATTGTTGGGGGTTTCGACCTTTCACGCATCTCTGAAGCTCGTCCCAGGCGTGCTCGATGGGGTTTAAGTCCGGGCTTCGCGCTGGCAACTGCATGAGTTCGATACCGACCTCTTCAAGGTAGTCATGCACAATTCTGGCGGTATGGGGACGCGCATTATCATGCAATAATATGCTATGCCGGTCCATCCTGGCCATGAAAGGACCTACATGTTCATTGAGGATCTCTTCCACGTGCCTCTCTGCATTTAGGGTTCCACTTTGAAGAAATCAGTACAAACTCAGTAGAAATCCCAGCCCAAACTTGTACGGAGCCTCCACCGTACGCCACTTTTAATCCACACACGCTTGATGGAAGTGCTCCCCTGGTCTTCTGTACACCAACTGCCTACCATCATGCTTATAAAGCATGAATTTAGACTCGTCCGTGAACATTACCCTAGACCAATCGTCTAGTGTCCAGTTTAGGTGCTCGCGCACGTATCTCTGTCTTGCAATTCGATGTCCCCGTTACAGTTTGGGGCCATTTGCGGGCCTCAATGGTTTCAAATTTGCTTCAGCAAGACGTCTTCTTACTGTTTGAGCGCTTAAATTGCCACCTCCAAAGCGAATAAGTGAGTTTTTAGACCAACAGCAGTTTGAAAACGATTTCGGAGCATTGTAGCCACCAGTTGTCTGTCTTCCCTGGCCTTTGTGCATCTTGGTCTGCCATTTTCTGGTCTTCTAAGGTGTGATCCGGTCTCTTGGTACCGCTGAACTACCCGCTGAACAGTCGACAAAGATACACCAATGTTTCTGGCTGTTTCACGCTGGCTCCGCCCAAGTTCCAAAAAAGTTAGGATTCTGGTACATTCCTCTAGCGTGACTGCCATGCTTTATCTCACAGAATAATAATTATGCACGTGAAAGACGTTCACAATATTTTTTTTTGTGACAGAATAGAAATGGAAAGCATCCATAATGAAATGAAACAAAAATTGTGTTTTTAAAAATAGTCATTTTTTTTTAATTTTGTTTTTCTAATGAAGTTTTTTTCATCAACCAGTTAAATAATATGCCATTAGAAGCGCAACTAAAATGTCCTTATTCTGTTTTTTATTTCATTGATCTAACTTTTACAGTTCTGGAAGTATTTCAATTTTGTGACTGACCCGTAATTTTTGGAACCGAGTGTATATATATAATAATAATACAACATAATTTATTTTTGCAAGTTTTAAATCATCATCATCATCATCATCAACAGCCTATACTAGTCCACTGCTGGACATAGACCTCTCCTTAGAAAGTAGGTTTTGTTTTTAAATTTAAACAACACAAAAAACAGTGGGTTTACTTATTTAATATTAATTCCTAAATTTAGTATTATATTGTGTTAAAAGTTGATTGAGGTTTAATCACGTAATAAGGGTTATAGTCATTATTATTGTGTTGTATTGGTATATTATTTATATTAATATTATTGTAATATTCTATATTGTTACTACTTTCATACAATGTACATATACACACACACATACATTTACTTAATTTTTACTTCTACCTGTTCTTATACATGTACTTAATTTAGTTGTCTTATTGGGACCTTAATCGGGGGTGAGTCTCCTAGAGGCCTGAAATAATATGAGGCAGTAATTTAGGCTCCAGTCCCAAAATCTAATAGATATAATATAGGCACTGTCAAATACTTTGTGGTGGAAAATAATAAATATTATTATTCTCCTTATTTATTTTATAATTACGGGTGTTTTAATACATATCATTACAAAAGAAAAATAAAATACATTTTAAAATATAAAAAATAGTAGACCACCGACATCGGGTACAGACCAAGCCACCGGTGGTTAGGACTCCAAAGATCGGAACATCCTAACTATACGAGCCGTGTGAAGGACGACTGCCTTCTGAATCAGACCCTTGATCCAGCCGTCCAACGTGAGGCTAAGGTGTTGGTCGTGGTTCTTGGCTATCAATCCGTGAGCAGATACGACTATCGGAACAATGATCACTGAATCGACATTCCACATATCGACAATCTCGTGGGATAAATCCAAATATTTGATCTGTTTTTCTTTTTCAACTTTCACGAGATTCTCGGCATGAGGAACGGCGATATCAACAATCATTGCGCGGCGCTCTAATCGATCTATCACTGAAATATCAGGAGTATTGCTAACAATAGTCCTGTCTGTGATAATAGATCGACCCAATACAACGTGACCCGACCATTCTCGAGAACTGGATCGGGCACATACCTGTAAAATGGCACCTCAAGATTTATAAGTTGGTATTTAAGGGTAAGCTGTTGGTGTACGATTCTGGCTACTTGGTTGTGCCTGTGCAAATATTCACCGTTAGCGTGACGAGAACAACCAGAACTAATATGCCTGATTGATTCGCCAGGACGGTGGCATGCCCGACAGATGTCAACCGTACCATCTTTCAGGATATATTTCCGATAGTTATTCGTCATGATAACTTCGTCCATAATCACATAAACAAAACCTTCAGTTTCTCACCTCTCTATATCAGACCCGTTAAGGGCCCGATAAAACCGACCATGGAGCTCTTTGCACTTCCATACTTACAAATATGGAATACAATCTCGTAACCGATGAACGTGGATGGTGCATTCGGAATGCAGTCAGCAGTGTACGGACTCTCCTGTCAAGGGCATCTAATTCGGTCTGAGTCCATCTAAGTATAGGTACCAAAGGAATACATTAGAATCGGCCTGACCCAACCATTGCAGACTCGCACCTTGTTGCCCCCTGATAAACGACTTTTGAGTACTTTTTTTCAAGCGGCCAAAAAGCGTTCCTGCAACGTTTGTTTCATGTCAGATTCTGGTATGTCTAACGACTGTGATATACCCAAATACTTGTAAGTTTCAGTGGTAGACGGAGATCTGAGTTTTGTTGAATCTGAAAGCTCTTCATTCAGATTCTACTATCACACCCTTATTTACATACATGACTGCACACTTGTCTACACCAAATTCCATTTTGATAGAATTACTAAAGTTTTCCGTCACTTTAGTAACGCTGACAATTGTAATTTGGTGGGGGCTAGTAGTTTCAAATCATCCATATAAAAAAGGTGAGATATAACTTGATAATCTTTCTGCAACCTATAGCCTAACCCTGAACCCTCTAATAAAGTGCTAAGAGGGTGCAAAGCCAGGCAAAACCACAAGGGACTCAGACTATCACCATGAAATATACTCCGCTCGATCTTTATTGGTGCATCGCTTACCGCCGTCTGTTGACATCCTGGATAACGAAGTGCTGTTCTCCAATGCCCCATACATAACTTCAAGAAAGTGGACAAAGTTGTATCAATTTTATACAACTCCAGCACCCTCAAAAGCCATGTATGTGGAACGGAGTCATAAGCCTTCTTATAGTCTATCCAACATGTCGCCAAACTCTTACGATTACGACGTGCCTGTTGGCTAATGGTCCTGTCTATAATAAGGAGGTCTTTAGTGTCACGGGTCCCACTTCTACTTATTATTATTACATATCAAGACTACATAATGTTTCTAATTACATGATAGATGGTTGATAATTATTCTTACCCAATTAAACAGTGTTAGTATAAGGTCTCTTCCGAGAGAAAAAGGGTTGAGTCATTGAGTCATTCAAAATGATGTTTTGCCAAAGTGACCAAATTTTTCACGATGACATTTTACGGTCTGTGTTAAGACCATTTTTAATTTCACTCTTATTTTTTAGATGGAGGACTCTACGTGGTGTGAAAATTCTGCGAATTAATGTAAAGCATAATGTCATTTGGACTTTAGGTGTTGCTATACCTGGCGAAACAGGCGCCATGTGTTATTTGTTTGACACTGTCTTACCTTTGAAGAAACATAAGACCTCACCACCTTTCCCTACTCAACCACTAATTAAAGATTTGCCTCTAGAATATTATGATGAATCTATACAACCCTTTGATAATAATTCCATCACATTTGAAGAAACTTAACATAGAAATTGTGTAGCATAATAATAATTTGTCTGCATCTCCTAGCTTTTTTTAAGCAGTATTTAACAAATTAGGTAAGTATACAAAGAAAATAAATGAAATACTGTTTTATGAAAATGTTTTATTATTCAAATTCATGATTCACATTGACTATTTTTTTTAAAACCTTTGATATACTTATAATTAGGGAACAACTTGCTTAACCACAATGTTAATCAATCAAGTCTGATTATTTGATCTTTTGCTTTAGATTATCATTAATACTTTGAAACTTGGATGTCATCATTTTGCATTTATAATACCGCCTGTAAACACTCATGATCAATTAAACTGTTATATTCACATATAACAGAAGGAAAGCCTGAAACAAACACTATACCAACCTGTCTGGCCAGCATGGTATAGTAGGCCAAAACCTCCTTTCTAAGGCCAATGTTCAACCAGAGTACTAAAGGCTGTTGATATTCTTGATTCACATGTAAAATTCATGGAATAATGCAAATGGACCCACACTGACAACAATCAAGATTTTAATATCCTTTAGCTTGCTATTATAAAGCATGTCAGTCATATACAGAGTGAGCAATAAATAAAAAGAATTTTGGTTAGCTTACAATCTAAATTTTACACAGTATTTCCACTTTCATGTAGCTACAGTCATTATTATTAAGACTATACATATTATCCTTCAGAATACATTTTCTTTAAAACTCCTCATGTGCCGCTACACTGTATGTTGAAAGCACTGTACGTACAGTGTAGCGGCACACGAGAAGTTAATAGTCGAAATTTAAAGGTCCCTTAGCTATGTACCACCACTAAATACAAGAAGTCAAAGCTTTCCTTTAGCTCTTGATAAACGTTCATAGAGCTTGTTTATTCTGAGTTTCATGGGTTAATCAAACCTTTAAAAATTAGAGGTGTTCAAGAATATGTCTGGTACATTTTTGCTTTACTGTTGGGTAGGAGGTTGGAACCCATAACCAGGGTATGGTTGAGGAGCACCAGGTGGTGGCGCTCCAGGTGTTGGTGCACGAGCATAGGGGTAGGGTGAGGGTGGATACTGGGCTGGGGGATAACCCTGTTGATATGCATGAGGTGGGTAACCCCCTCCAGCTGGAGGATAGTTCTGGGGATTTTGAGGATAATTTGATTGTGGAGGTGGGGCTGTTGATACAGATGGTGCAGGGCTTCCTGGTTGTGATGATGGATTAGAATATGGCGGCTGTGTAGCTGGTGGGTAAGGCGAAGCTTGTCCAGGAGGAGGATATTGTTGACCTGGAGGACCACTTGTTGAACTAGCTCCAGAAGCAACTGTTGAAGGAGGAGCATTATTTCCGTGGGAACTAGAGTTGTAAGTAGGAGATTGAGCAGAAGGAGACCCATATCCTGAACTTGGAGGATTCTGAGATGAATAACCGCTAGGTGGTTGAGGTGAGCGATTTGGCTGCGAAGTAGGAGTTGAACTGTATGCTGATGTAGGAGTGGTATTAGGGAAAGGTTGTGACTGATATGGTTGAGGCTGGGAACCAGTTGAATTGTTATAGGTACTGACCCCAACATTTGGGTAAGTAGAACCACCTTGTGATGGTGGATAAACAGAATTTCCAGTGTAAGCAGGTTGAGCTGCTCCTCTGACTTGATAAGGCGTACCTGCGGCAGCTGGACTGCCAGGAGGTGGAGCATAGGGCTGCTGTGCAGACGATGGAGGATATCCTGGTCCAGGGTGAGTAGATGGAGGATAGTTACTTGGAGTGGTTGTTATAGGTGGTCCATAGTTAGAGTTAGGAGGATAACCTTGTGGTTGTTGAGGAGGATTGGGTGGACCATACCCTTGGCCAGGAGGTCCATATCCTGGTTGCGGAGGATAAACACCTGGTGCTCCTTGATATTGTCCCTGATATTGGTTCTGAGGGTATGGTCTTTGTCCATAAGACTGAGTTGGTCTTGTGGGCGTGGTTGAAACACCTGTTGGTCTATATGATTGTTGAGCATTGCCAGATACATCACCACCACTTGGAGAAGGTGAATTAATAGGTGGTGCCTGAGCCACATTCCCAGCAGCTAATTGATGAGGGGGCTGTAAAATGATATTAAAAATATAGTTTAGTAATATAAAATATAAATGTAACAATTAAAATTTTAAAATATACCACAAGTAAAATATAATTGGAGGCTTGTGGCTAAGTGGTAATTGAGTAGGTTAGCACATTGCAGAGTTAAGTAATCGTAGTCAGGTCAGTCTATGGTTGGGAAACCATTCTTAACACATTGAGACGCCTTCGTGCCTCAGAGAACACATTAATCTGTCAGTCCCAGTTGCCATACCATATTAATGGTTTGGTTTGCTATTTAAATAATACAAGCGGATGGATTTTTGTTGACAATAGTGAAAAAAAAAAATGACATTGAAAAAAAAGCTGTCCAAGCTTTACTAGAATAAGCAACATTAATGAGCGAGTTTCAACCTACTCATGAAATTAATTAATGGTATATTGTTAGAGGACACAAACTTCTAGTTGTTGTCAATTCTAAATACAGATATCTCTATCATATATAGTCATCTAGTGAGTAGTCATCTCTATCATAGATAGTGACAAATTTATATAGCATCTTCACCATCATATTTGAGAGAATATAAATGTTATACCTATTTAAGATGATTCACACTTACTGTGCGGCAACAATAGGAAAACCTAATTTATAAAAAAGTACTCACTGGTAGAAGGCTTTGTATGTTTTGATTAGCATCTGCCACAGAAGCTAAATACACTAAATTCCTGTGTAATACTTGTTGATATTGATGACATTCCATTAGCTGTCCCTTCGCTTGATATTCTTGAATGGTTTGAATTAGATGAGCGTTTTCATCTAACATTTTCTGTATTTGTGCCGGGCTTAAAGGAGGACGATTGCCTCGCGCAGCAAACGCTACAGACATATTTTTTAAGTAAGTACAAGATAAGGTTTGTTTTTAGTGTATTCAATAACGTTATCATTAATTAAATAGAAACTTTTAGCGTTAATGTTAAAGGACAATCCAAATAACCAGTATTTATCACGAAATAAAATTAATTTAATAGTCACGATCCATCACTAAACAATACACACGCACACGCCTTAGAGGGGTGTATTGTAATACAATACCAAAGAGAATTTTATACTTGTACTGTGAACATTAGTCTTGGGTAGTACACGTACGATGTACTGATAGGTACTAGTACTTAATAAACAGTGTGAGAGTAAAAGCGACAGCGATGTAGGATGTACTACGATGAATACGATTTTTTAGATTACTTTACACTAAATTTTTAAGCATATTGTAGTTTCCTTATGATTGTCTTATGATCCTTGATTTTATTTAAGCAGGTGTAGTTGATTCAATCGACTAAACAGGAGATACCATTATTATTACACTTTTATTTAGTAATATTTTGTATGACATGTGATATAAAGAGCTGAAATTGATACATTTTGATTATTAATATTGGTAAAATGTGTTAAAGGCGTCAAAAGCAAAAACACTCGTTTAACATAATATTTAAGCTCATAAACATAAACATTTAAGCTCGAATTAATATATTGAAAGTGATTGTAAAGATGTACTGCACTGCTAGGCTTTTAATAAATTATTAAAACAATTTCTCAATTTATGACCATGATTAGATAGTGATTATAGTGATCACCAATAGTAGTAAAAACTTTCTGAACCCTAATGAAGCATGATAATATTAATAGATAAAAAAATAACTTTAAAAAAAGTTATCACTACACACAGACTCATATTAAGACTCAAACCTAGACTCAGTCGACTCACACAGTAACTTCAGTATACATACACGACGGTAAAGGCACACGGCACAAAGCCTAGGTCAGTCATGGGCTGCACACGTCTGTTGCAGACTAGAGTTGTGTAGCTCCTGAGTGAGTGATATAAAAGATATATATCATTCTCGACCATAAAATGTATCACTCACTTACACTAGCTCCGAATATATCAGTAACTCAGTACTAGCTCACTAGATCACTAGATCACTAGCTCAACGACGCCGATCTTTGTTTCATGAGCGAGTGAGATTAAAAGATAAATGTGTGAGATAGATGATGGTTGAGTTCACGCAAGTTTCTTTATGCAAAATGTACATTATTTTTTATGGGATCAAAGTTTAATATTATTTAAGAATTAAGCCAAGAACAAGGAAAATCAAATTATGTATGATTTCTATTACACAACCTAAAAATTTTTATTTTTAATTGGGTGTTAATAATTATGTAATCTTATCAAAATGAATAAAATTGTATTTAAAAAAAATAGGTTAAAAATGTAGTTTCAAAAACTGAATTTAATTAAGAAATGATTTAATTGAGAGACCAATCAATTGAATCAGATTAATGAGCTAGTGAGCTAAATGAGTTAGTGAGCTAAATGAGCTAGTGAGCTAGATGAGTGATATATATCTTTTGAGCGAAATTATATATATCAATCTTTTCAGCTCAGTGATACATTTTGCGCATCACTATTGCAGACCTCGGCAACGTTGCCATACATTTTCATACTCCGACTGACTGACTATTAATTCTGAATTGTGGCATTGGCGACGCCTCTAACCGTTAGTATCTGTCAATCATCCTGAAGTCAGTCTCAACTAGGCTGTCAATGTCAATACTGTCATCTCATATTTATTTATAGTCAGAAAAGTCTGTTGTGCTGTAGTTTGTGTTCGTACTAAAAATAATAACAATATTCAAAATTATAATTCTGCGATCCTAGTTTATTTTGAATTTTGAAATCAAACTTCACCATAAATTATAATCTCGTTGGCAGTAGTCTCTATTTCCAATAAAATTAGCCAATAAGTTAAATGTTGTATCAGTCAAGTTATACAGCAATTTTCCATCTGTGTTAAACTTGCTGCAATGGAAATAGAAATTGAGTGTTCCAAAACAGACATTCCAGAAGACAACTATAGTAATTGTATCATTACCGAGTCTAATATCAAATATAACAATATGAAGTTTGAAGATTTTTTTAAAAACTTTATGATAAGGAATCATCCTTGCTTAATAAGAAATGTAACCAGTGATTGGCAATGTGCCAAAAAATGGGTAGAAAATGATCATATTAATTATAACTATATCAAATCAGCTTATGGTGATCTTGAAGCACCTGTTGCAGACTGTAATGCTTTAAAATACAACTCTCATTGTAAAAATGACATGAATGTATCAGATTACATGGAATATTTAAAAGATCCAAAGTGTAATAAACTTTTATATTTAAAAGATTGGCATTTGAGGCAGCATAAACCAGAGGACAACTTTTATAAAACACCCCAAAATTTTGCCTTGGACTGGCTTAATGAGTATGCCGTTGATAATGAGCAAGATGACTTTATGTTTGTGTATATAGGACCAGAAGGCTCTTGGTGAGATTTATTTATTTTCAAAAATCGTAATACAAATATTGTGCCAAGTTTGCAGTCCTATATACTTTTATTTGCACTCTTTCTCTAACTTATATTTTAATCATTTTGTTGATGATATCTTTACAGGACACCATTGCATGAAGATGTGTACTGTTCATACAGCTGGTCAGTGAATGTAGTTGGCAGAAAAAAATGGATTCTTTTTCCTCCTGGAGAGCAAAACAAATTTAAAGATACTCTTGGCAATCTTCCTTTGATGTTTGAACCAGAAAAATATAAAAACATTAAATACTTTGAAATTATACAAGAAAAGGGAGATGCTTTATTTGTACCATCCGGCTGGCATCATCAAGTGATCAATGAAATGCATACTATCTCAGTGAATCATAACTGGATTAATGCTTGTAATATACACATTGTTTGGAAAGCCTTACAAAATTCTTTGCTTATGGTAGAACACCAAATTAGAGAATTTAAAGATACACCTGAGTTTCCTTCACAATGTCAACTAATATTAAAATCTGTTTTTGGGATGGATTTTAAAGACTTTCTTACTCTTTTGTTTTATATAAGTAAAAAAAGGCTTAAACAATTACAAGGCGACTCAAAATTAGGCTTAGATAAATATTCTCTCGGAATTAATATCATCAAATTTGAATTAAAACATATACTTAAAGTTATGGATTCAATTAATACACACCCAATATTAATAAGTAAGAATTTATTACCCTCAATACAGGATGATTTTACAGAAATAAAGGACAACATTTCACAAATATTGAATTAATTGGTAATAAATACTTAGCAGTGTTGCTTCTATTATTAATTAATATTACCCTACTGCTCTTAAAACTTATTTCAACAAGCCTTTTTTTTCGTGACTGGTTAATTTATTAATTGACTTATCAGTGACTAAACATTTATCAGACTAAATGTTAGATAGATTTTTGCTGATGTGAAATATTTAATCAACTTATCTTATTTGAACACATCAGAGATTGCAGATGGTAAGATTTAAGAACAGCCACCTAAAGTCTTTTTTGTGTTATCCAGCTTAAATAACCTATTATAAATGAATATAAAGATCATAGCTCTGCATTTTTGTTGCAGTTGTCTTTATAATGTGAAGATTTATATAGCAGAAACTATAATAAATTTTACCAACAAAAAAAACACAGTCACATTAAAAAGACTGACACTGTATATTATATAAAAGCTATATCTAGGAAAAAGAAACTGAGAGACTGTTTCACTGACTGATCAATCAACGCACAGACGAAACCGGTTGGTCTAGAAACGTGAAATTTTGCACATGTTCCTTAGGTGACGTAGTGTGCACTAACAAATGAGTTTTTAAAAATGCCGCCCCCAAGGGTGCAAATGAGTGTTGCTTTATATGAAAGTAAGTTATTTTTGGTAGTAATGTTTTCAAACACTACATACTCTTTGTTAAAAGTAATAAAAAATATATCAATTTTTTCAAAACTACCCTTAAAAAGAGGTGCAAGTTTGTATGGGGAACTTTTATTTAACTATTTTTTTTAACTTATCAATTCCAAACTCTCAGTATAATTATATTCTCTATCAAAAATAATAATACTTAGACCTATCTTTTTAACTTTTCAAAACGTCAAAACAAGTATGTTTGTTACTCAATCACGCTAAAACGGACGAGATTCGGCACATAGATTATAGTCTAGAATAGCACAGAGGCTACTATTTGTCCCGGCGAAATTTATTGACATTGAATTTACATTTACGTGAGCGAAGCCGTGGGCAAAAGCCATAATAAAAGTCATGCTCATGAACAAAGTACTTTGCTAAAAATAGTAATTTAAAATGACCATTTAAAATATTTAACGGAAAGTATTTGTTTATGTAAAAGTTTTATTTAAAAAAAGTTCACTATGTGTCCCTTTCGTTTGCTGTATCGATATCAACATTTTGGCAAAATGTTATGATGATCGGATGAATGATACGTTATCTCACATAAAATACAATAAATTAATATTGATTTTTAGAAAGATTTCAATTATAGATTTTAAAAAATTTGTTTCTCCACCTTAAAGCAATGAATAAATATACTTGAATTTAAAAAAAAGTTAATTGACACGCTGAGAAATATATGTATTTAATGCAATATTCAGTTTGTCAACGTTAGACATGGGAAAAAATCACAGTGAACTGTGATTTATCATTTGATTTACGTACGTAGGTTAGGGTTGCTAGGTAGATAGGTTAGACGCTACTTGACAGTAAATATATTTTATATATTATGTAGGGAATGTGAACTATATATAGTAAAATACTTATTATATTTATTGTTAAATAGGCGAAATAGGGTTTTTATGCAACGTCTGAAAACAGCTTATTGGCAACAACTCATGAGTAAGTAGTAACCCGGCTAGGGTTCACAGGTTACATACGAAAATATCGAAAGATAAATCACCGGTCTTTTCAAAGTTCTTTGTGATTTTGTCCCATGCCTAGTCAACGTTAAAGTGTTTTTTATTTAATAAATCGGTACCTACTATAATACACAGTATACATTCACACTTCAATATTTTATGTGGTATCACTATTATAAATGCAAGACATACACAACACTGATTCATTTCATTCAGTTGTCATATTGTGATGGCGGCGCTTGGGGAGTTACGCTACTTTATTAAAACATACGACGCGGAGTTTTGTTAGTTTTGATAAAAACATATTTATTTATTTTGTAAACTTTTATTAGAATAATCATTAGATATGCGTTATCATGTGTAACTTTAGAGTCAAAAGTGTTTTTTTACTTTCATCACTTGGTGCTATCAATATTGTGATTCTTAATAAAAATAAATACTTATTGCAACCTTACTAGCCCATGATATATTTGTTAATGACAAACTACAAGACAGAAACTATTTTTTTGGAGTACGTATTTTAGTTCGCAATAATTCAGTGACTATCACGTCAATATGAATGATGTTCGTGACAAAGTTGTTGCCGGTTCCTCAACGTGGGAGACTAACATTATTCAGAGTGATTCTTCACCAGAAATTCAATCATCACCAAGTGCAAGCGGGGAGACACCACAGACGCCAGGCGCGCCAGTCCCACTCGCGCCGCATCTCGCTGCAGACCTACATCCAGATCTAATTCAACAAGGCTGGAGGAAGTATTGGTCTAAGCGGGAAAATAGGCCTTACTTCTGGAATAAATTATCTGGTGAATCAATGTGGGAATTACCTGCAGTAAAAAGGGATTTTGATCCAATAACGGACCCCTTAGGTATATGCCACACTGGGCCTTCAAATGCGGGCAATATGACTCCTGGCACAACTAAAAGACGGCCGTCAGAAGATAATGGACCTCCTCCAAAGAAATTTGTATTGTCAGGTCCATGGGACATAGAAGTACCAACAAATGTGGTCATTTATGAGCGTCCACCAACAATTTGTCCCCATCCACATCCAGAAATTGAAGGATTCAGGTTTACTTTGGCCAATAAATTAAGGCAATGTTATCAGGAACTGTGTCACACCAGAGAAAGTATAGATGCACCAAAAGACTCATTTAATAGGTGGCTCATGGAAAGAAAAGTAAATGATCAAGGTGGTTCAGATCCATTGCTTCCGAGCCATTGTTTTCCAGAAATTTCACACTCAATGTATGAGGAAATAATGAATGACATTCCTATTAAGTTAACACATCCAAAGTTCACTGGTGATGCCAGGAAACAATTATCAAGATATGCAGAGGCAGCAAAAAAAATGATTGAATCTAGGAATGCTTCACCAGAAAGTCGTAAAGTGGTGAAATGGAATGCTGAGGACACATTCCAATGGTTGAGGCGTACTGTTGGAGCGACCTATGATGATTTCCAAGACAGACTTGCACATCTAAGGGTTAGTTTTCTTGATAAATATTGTGTCACCTGCTTTGAGGGAAACTCACATCACAATGTATCCTAATAGACTGTGGCCTTAATGGACCACTAATAATACTTTGTACCTTTTTATCATTTATTAAAATATTTTTATATAAAATACATAATATAAAAATTATATAAATATAAATAGTATATATTTATTATACTTTGTAGACATGATAATCCCAAAAATATAATATAGGTACAATTCTAACATTCAATAAAAAATCTGTAATCCATATCAGTTTATAAGTTTTTCAAGTGTTTTTTAACAATAACATCCTACCAAGATTTTTGTGGTTCAAATTACGAACTTTTTTCTTTCGATCAATCAATTTCCAAGTATGCTGTGTTGTTCAGTCTTGTCCTTGTCCATCTAGCAACTGAAGTATGATGAATGTGGTGAATAGTGAATTTTGATAAACAAACAGAGCAGGAGTCGCTGAAGCGCATATCAACCATACTATCTCATGAATTAATTTAGGGAACATATTTCTGCAGTAAACTAACTAACCCTTTGATAGACTAGAACCAATAGCTGTCATGATCCCAGATGATCTATCACTTGACTTGTTAAAAATGCATTGCAGGATTGTTTCAACCTTGGGGCGTTGTAAGTAATTTTTGCTGCATGTAATTTATTAAAGATTTCATCATTTCCAACACAAGTTTATAATTGCTGCTTTAATATTTTTAATAGATTTGTTTTACAAAAAATCTTACTTTCAGCGGCAGACACAATTTTATTTTTTGTTTAAAATAAAAGACAAATCCCGCATTAGGAATATATAATGTGTTGCAGGGGACTTTAGATACATAAATAAAACGGACACAAAGAACACCCAGACTTAGAACAACAATTTGTGGATCACACAAAGTGTCATCTTATGTGGGGATTGGACCCATAAAACTCAGCGTAGCAGTAAGCGGTGTGGTGACCACTTAAACCACCACACCATCCATGCAGTGAAAGAGATAGTCAGAAAGTGAACAATGATTTATTTGAAATACAACGTCTATTTATTTATTTTCTAAAACATTACTTTGAAACCAACAATGATATTCACATTTCCATAGCTTATGAAGGATCTACATTTAATAGACAAAAAATATTTTATATTATTTTTTAAATATCTTTTAAATTTTAATAACAAGCCATTTTATATGAAATCCTTCATGGGGCACCATAGGCACCAAAGAAAGTAGGTATGATATTAACCAACTTCCTTATTATCAACAATGCACATTAAATAGTTTAATCAGGGTGGTTATAGATTTCTTAACTTTCATGCAACATAAAAATTATCTAGACTAGAATAATAATAATTCATATATTCAAAACATTTGTGTGTAACAGGAATTAACTAGGTGAAACAGGTGTATCTCGCGAGATAGTTCCCTTCGTAGCGTTACATAAGCGAACATAAGAATAAAATGCTTGCAAAGTATAACAATGAAAAATGAGAAAAAAATGGTATTTATTTATCTGTACATAGAAGACACTTCTAAAATTCAAAACTGTTTTACAAAAAGTTTTATAAAACATGTAATTTCTTTTTTAAACATTATGTACTAACTTTTTATCAGGAGTGCAACTTTGAGTATAAAAAAACTCAAAATGTAACAAAATACTACACAACTTAAATACTGTTCTCATTTTTTCTTTAAGTATATTCTTGTTCATTTCAGAGACAATGTCAGCCACACTTAGCTGAGACAGTGAAGGCATCAGTGGAAGGAATCTGTCTTAAAATATACCATTTGTCTGCTGAGTATGCTCGCAAGATAAGAGAAAAACATAGTGTATTGCTAAAAGAAAATGGAATACAGGTATTTTTATGTACATAATGTAATTTCATATTAGCAATTACATTTTAACTAATATTACTCACACAAAAGATAGAAGAGGTAAGGACCAGCTACGGTATTAACAAAAAAAAATGATAGCCTGTGGACATCCATCTTAATAATAATAACCTGACATCTTACACACAGCTGTCTGATCCCAAACCAGACAGTACTATGATTACCAGACTGCTGATAACAATAACATCCTACCAAGACTTTAGATATACTTTTTTAAATATACTTATAAATTTGCAAATACATACGAAATACACTCAGACACAGAAATTAAATGATCATACTCATAACACAATTATTTGTTCTGAGTGTCAATCGAACCCACCATCTCTGGCTTGGCAGTCATGATGACCAACAGGCGCAAAACATGCTTTGGATATAATATATCGACAAACTATTTTTCTTTTCATAATAGTTTTATGTTCTACAAAACAAACTTCTCAAAGATGCTTTAGTTATTGCAGTTTACCCTTTTTAACGTAATTTGTAACACGTCCATTTTTCTTTTTATTGTTTGGGACGGTTTGAGCACATAATTCTTGATTAAATTGTAAAAGCTTACATTTATCTCAGGAACTAGCCGCTCCCCTGCAACAGGCGGCGTTACGTAAAGTTTGGTGCTATCCGGTACAGTTTGCAGTGCCGGCACCTCGCCCGCCGCTAGTCGAGCACTTCCTCGACCGCGATCAGACGCTCCTGCGTTATCTCGGTGAAACGCAGGTTATCAATGCCGTGTATTTACAAAAATTAGTAAGTCGTCATTTTCTTAAATAATTATATAATATGAATTATTCATTAATTGATTAAACGCATGCTTAATTAATTTTTATATTTACATATTTGTAAAATAAAAAATCGATCTAAGTAGCATGCAATGGGAGAGGCCTATGTCCAGCAGTGTACTGCAATAGGCTAATGATGATGATATTTGTTGTACCTATATAATTTAAATGAAAAGTATGACAAAGGAATATAGAAGAAAAATATGTCTTCCAATCAGAAGGCCAATTCTCGTAATAAAAGTTCGGTCTCAATTCAGTTCCTAACAACTTTCGATCTCACAACTATCATAAAAGGTATTTTCATAGTAGAGTATTAAACATCCAACGTCGACTGTAATGTGATTATATCGTATTGTAACCGAAAATTGAATCGATAATCTGCTAGTCTTAGTAATACTTTACTACGAAAATACCTTTTACGAGTATGACAGTTGTGAGATCGAAAGTTGATCGAAGCTGAATTGTGACCGAACTTTTATTACGAAAATTGGCATTCTGCACAGGTAGGTACTATTCCATACCAAGAAAATTATTTATTTATCATTTAAAACAAATGCTAATGTTAATAGTGCCTGCTAAAACTTAAAGAAATAAAAAATACATCACGTAACAAACCATTTAAAATAAGTTCAACAGAAAAAAGATGATTTAAACAAAAGTTGGTTTAGCGGTTAATTAAATTAATTGGACAGTTCTGTCTTTGATTGTTAATGCTTATATTAATTTTATAAAATGTAATTGATTTTTATAATAATAAAAAAACAGTGTTCTAAATACAATTACACTGATTTTTTTGCGAAGTATTAAGATTGCGAACTGATTCAATGAGTTCGTCAAGAATTAACTCATAAGATTGTGCATCTCTACTGGTCACCAATTGGCGTAGAAGACTGTATAAGAAATAACAGATTTGTATCTAAATAATACTCCTTTGACGTGAATTTACACATTAGTAACAACTAAATTTAATTTGTACAGGAGTGTCTCTATCGATACAGCTGCTTTGACGACAAAAAGTTCGAACAGTTTCTGTCCCGTGTGTGGTGTGTTATGCGACGTTACGCGGCGTGGGTGGGCTCGGGGCCGGACGCGCACCTGACGCAGATGTCGCTGCCTGTGCCCGTGCTCGAGTGCTTACATCGCTGCTTCGGGGTCACGTTGGAGTGCTTCGCCAGCCCACTGGATTGCTATTTTAGACAATATTGCTCCGCTTTCGCGGACACAGACTCTTACTTCGGCTCCAGAGGGTAAGTGCTTCATTAAAATTACAGGTTGCGCCTGAGTGACATGCTACCTACTAAAACACAGACACTACAATATACCCAACATATTTATATTTCTACATTGTTCAAGAAATCTGAAAAGTAAAGTCGTGAATTTCGTAAATTGCATATATATGGAGGTGCAGCGTATATGTATGGATATACATAGAATATATGGAAAATTTTCATTGCTATAATAATATAATTCTCTGCTGGTTTCCCTCGTTCCACCAGCATATCAACGTCATGAGAGAAAGACTGATAATAACCAAACCGATGATGCTACCAACTGGTAGTAATCTAAAGAACCATTAAAGATTTTACTATAAGAACATTACCCACTAGTTAACACTACTTAAGCTAATCGGATACTGAAAGATAGATTAACAGAACTACTCAAATCGTAAGTAAGGCTCATCTAACATTCGAGTTTTCAATACATGAAAAATAATAAATTTCAATTATAACAGCCCGTTTTTGGAGCTACGACCTGTTTCCGGGTCGATGGTAGCACATCCGCCTTATTGCGAGGAGTTATTGGAAGCAGCACTGCGTCACATGGAACGATTGTTGCAAGACTCTGCCGAGCCTCTGAGTTTCGTGGTGATACTACCCGAGTGGCCCGACAGACAAACACACGCATTGCACAAACTTCAGGCCAGTCACTTCAAAAGAAAACAGGTTCGTCATATTTTTTTGTATTATAATTTCGTCAGTTTAGTCAGTCAGGATGTGCTTTTTGCTAGTGATTTTTTAACTTTTTCAGGTGGTTATTCCAGCTTTTGAACACGAGTATCGTCATGGATTCCAGCATGTTTTACCCAAGTAAGTATTAAAATGTATACTTACAATTAGCCCTGCGTTACTCAGTCGTGTCGGACATTAACAGCTTGTTATATATTAGTTAGATTATACTTAACCTAAAATACAGTAATATATATAGTATATAATAGTTACATTAAAAAATAAGAGAAAACGATTTTCTTCAGTAGATCATATTTTAGATTACAGGATACTAAATAACGATGACTCGTCAACGTTCAACGCCTAGCTAAAGTACTATCAAGTGTGAAGCATCGATTCCCTCGTTTTATATTGTTCGGTACATATTTATATATTTATGTCGTATGAATGACTTCGTACTTTAAGTGCCGTGCGATAAATACCATGTTATTCTTGTTACTTTATAAAGTTCATTCGCTTTTAATAAAAAATATCGGTTTCGGTCTTTTTGTACGATTACTACTGAGAATTATGAAGTTAAAATAGGTGGCGCTAACGAAGTAAACGAACCGTGTGCGGTTGCAGGGGCGAGGTGTACTTCCGGTGGGGCGGCGGCACGGTGGTGGTGTGGCTGCAGAACGCGGCCGGCTTCGCGCGCTGGGGGCCCACCGAGGAGCGCGTGGAGGCGCTGCTGGACGCGTGGCGCCCGCGCAACAAGCGCGACGCGCCGCCCGCCGCCTCTGCCGCGCCGCCCGCGACCCCCGCGGCCCCCGCGCCCTCCGCGCCGCCCGCGCTCGAGCCCGACGCCGCGCCCGCCCGCGCCTAACTCACTCGATTTCCTGCGATATTCATTCTCACTAAAAGTAGTGGAGCCGTATCAAATAAATGAGCTTCGAAACAAGTCAAACGCCTTCTGCGTGAACCTATTCCGTAATATAAGTTGCCGTATCGGTAACCGTAGATTTCGAGGCGATAGATTCGAGTTCACACCTTCGTTTCGCCTTATTTAGAGTAGACTGTGAGCCATAACGTTAGAATGTAACCGGATGAGTTTTTAAGTACTAAAAAATACAGTGGGTAATAAAGGTAATTTTGGGCAAACATAATTGTTCCACCGAAATGAAGGCGCAGATTGGTTGAGGATTTTGTAATGAGCTCTAGATCTGTTGGTTACAGGGATTTATTGTTAGAATCACAATATAAATTCATGATTTAGACTTTATAAAAATGATGTGAAGGGCAGGTTGTTTCTAATCGCGCTCTGTGCTATCGATTTCTTTTACGGCTTTTGACATATTGACAATATGTCAAAAGCCGTATTCTAATTGTGTATAGGAATATTCTGAGAAGTAGAGTGATTTTTATTTTGCTACAGTATTGTATACTTTTAATAACAATGAATATCGCAAAGTACAAGTTCTTTTAGAAGCTGTTTATATTAGAAGAGTTGAACAAAAATGATTTCAACAATTCTATGTCAGTGTATCAATCTTTACTTTAAATATGAGAAATGGAGGTTTACAAAAAGGTGTAATTTATATTTAACTCTTAAAAATCCATTATTGTGTAAAATTATATGTAAGGTATACTGAAATGAATTATTTAATAATATTTAAACATAATGATTTTTACTTGAACCATTTTTGGTTATGTGCACTAAGCATAATGAAATATATTATTTAATCTTCTATTCTTTATTCCAGAGAATTGTAAAACTTTATTATAGCTTTTAAAAAAAAAACGGAGAAATCAAGTGTATATTACGGAATGTCCCATTAGTTTTCGACCCGACTGGTGCCTATCGCTCCGGGGAATCGTCACGCTGTTGTGCACCTGACACCGACGTGGATAGTCACTCTGATTAATACAACTCACAGTTTATTATATTGTATATCTTTCGTCTTATATTTGGGTTCCTGCTAGATGTATTTGGGACCCTTTGTGATGGAGTGTGTGTAGGATCTACTATATGCTACTAGGGCGAGACCTAACATGTGAGCGTCTTGTATCGATGCAACTCTTTTTTGAGATTTTAAATATGTGGTCAGGGTGCTGCCCGTTGACTGGCCTGAGAACTGACCACCCTTAGAATCTCCTTGTCATTTCTTTCTTTTCTTCTCATGCCCCAAAAGGATCATTTGTGAGTGGAGTTTTCTGTCTGTTGAGCGCGCTTGCATTAACCACGAATGGTCTTGAAGGACTTCGGTCACTACACCGTGGAGATTATCGTCTTCGTCAAGTATCCAAGTCTAAATACAACTTTCAAAGTCAATGCATTTAAGTTCTAAATAACACCATGACAAAACAGCTAAGGGATGCTATGTTTTTAGAGTAAACAGCTGCTAAGAAAGTTTTGTATAAAAATGTGTTAGACACTTTTATAAATAAATTTAGAAAAAGATGGGATGTAAAAACACCTTTACATTTGTATATAATGATAAATCATGTACATAATGGTATACATAGTTAGATGTAGAAATTAGACGTAGGGTATATTTTTTTTATTTCCCTTATCTGTTGTATAGTTCGGTAAAGTTTATTATGTTTTGATTGTTTATTATATTTTCTGTAAAAAGTAACGAGTTTTATTTTTAAAAAGTTTTAAAAACCATTCTATTAAAATACGAGTTTAATAAAAACATCTTATTAAATAACCTAACATTGTAAATAATACTAATCCTTAGTACAATATTACGAATATCAATAACCGCTAATACTTTTAATATTGTGAAAAACTAACAATAGGCTAGTTGACCCAATTTGAAAAGTTGTTAATTATATACTTCAATATCTATTATATCCGAAAAAACATATTTTAAAGAAAAAGCAATATTAAAATTACTTTATTACTATTAAATACTATATATTATTATTAAATTTAAATTTCGACTGAAAGGCTGAATAGTGTCATGGCGTCTAGAATGACGTCACAGTCTGCGAAACTAAACTATTTACATATGTGTCCAGTGCCAACTGAAACTGTATTAAGGTGAGAAAATATGCTAAAAACGAAAAACAATATGGAGTAACCTGATCTGTTGTATGAAAACGTCACAACAAAACACTTTCTGATTGGTGTTTGCTGTCACGTGACTTATGCCTTTTTTGTTCGAATTTATTTGTTAAAAATATTAATAATCTTTAACTTTTATGAGAAATAGACTGGTTTTTTCTTATCTATGTATATTCATTCATAATTTGAAACTATAAACCAAGCAATTTGTTATTAGTGGACACAAACCTATTCTGAGAACAACATATCCTATGTTTGACTTCGGCCATACCTACTCGTACAAGACTAAAATCTACTAATAATGTTTAGTTCGACAATATCTCGATTAGTTTGCCCAAACATTTGTATATTTCCTGAAAATCTGGTAAAAATAAAACCTTTCTAAGGAGAGGCCTATGTCCAGCAGTAGACTATTAAAGGCTGTTGATGATGATGAAGGTAGCATAATAATAAAACATCAAATAAGATGTGGTTGTTTAACTACAAAGACAAGAACTTAATAGAACCGTGAAGGTCTATCACTCGTCCTTTAAATTTCAGTATTCACAAGGTCATTGCGAATTAAATCCAATATAAATTATAATCTTATTTAATATCTAATAAATAATTGTACTAAAAGGTTTTAGGAAAATTTAAAGCATTGCCTTGGTCATATACGCTTTGACTAAAACAATGATTATTACATTTTACCGTTTAATTTCAGATTGATTAAAGCAAAATAGACACAACGATAATAGATTGTGCTTACCATAGAAATATAAGCATAGAGTGAACAAGAGCCCCAATCTTGCAATATAGGCAACGAGAGAGATGAATAATAGATAGTTCCTTCTATCTTTTTCTAGGCGAGCTCTGTGGTTGGCTAAGGAAAATTCTAATCTACCTATCTGTCCTACCGTCTAGTCTATCTAATAGACATTGGATTCCAATTTCTGCCCTCTTTTGGTGTTGTTTTATATATGTTTTTCTATTAGATTAATTTATTGTTTTAGCCATTAAAAATTCTTTGGGGCTCAATGTAGAACAAATTTTAGTACCATCTGACTAAAACTAAGTTTAAGCTTTAAGCAGCTTTGTATTATTAATTTAAATTACACTAAGTTTAGTCATCTAGTGACGAACAAAAGTAACTATATTTCAAAAAATCACTAAGAGATTTTGCCAGGACTATTTTAATAAATTAAGTATAAAATTACTTGCAAATGAAAAAGGATGCTGTCCATAGCAACAAAACTTCTATCCGAAATATTTTAACACAATAAAATACAAAATTTATCGTGCTAAACATGAAACTATAGCGATTTGTGAGTTTGCGACACAAGTGCCACAGCACGGACGCCGAGTGTACTAATTTTAAGCCACGCCCACCGTGACGTCAAGACTACTTAGAAACATACAACAACGGTACACGTAACGAACAACTACGGTATTCGAATCATGACTCGATTCCGCGATTCGAGCCCAGTACTCGAGTTCTATGTTTGGTGTTCGAATGTAAACTCTAGTCCAGGACTCGAGTCTAAAAATTCGAGTCCAGAACTCTAGTCTGGAAATTCGATCTAGAACTTGAGTCTAGAAATTCGGGTCCAGAACTCTTCTCCCTTGGGATAGGGCCTGATTAGCCATGGTGTCAATTCGGGGAGGACCTGAAATACATGGTCCGGGTCCTCCCCAGAGTAGGACATCTGAGGCCGGCCGTCGGGGTGGTTTTTAGTGGAATCACCACATACTCCTGGCTCATAGTCCCCGAGGAGTAGGAGATCCGAAGGGATTTTCCACCCCAACAACAAAAAAAAAAGGCGTCACATCATTTCTTATGTAAACAGATATCGAGTACGAGCGAGTCAACTTAACTCGTATGCTAGATTCGAGTCACATGGAATCGCTAAACAGAATCGAGTCAGCGAGTACAAATTCGATTCTTCCTGACTCATTGGTATTCGAATAAGCGAGTCTAAAGCAGGAATCGAGTCTGACTCGAGTCAAGCCCTACTCGGCACATCGCTAATAAAAAGAAAATACCAATCGACGTATCTTAAATAGCACTTTCCAAAATTATTTATTATTAAAACAGCACCCTCTTAGTTTACGCTACGCTAGATACTACCTGCTACACCGTCTATATCACTTGAAATACTTCGAATTTCGTACTTTTTGCACAGTGGAAAAACTGCACCCTACTCGAAACTAACTGCACTATCATTAGAATTTCATAAAATGCAATAGTTATTGCCACAAATAAATAAAACGTAACCAGTCAATTGCCGAAGGCGCGTGGTACGTTTGAGCATGCGCAGGCCATACATCTAGGGTTTTATTTTCGAAGGTTCGAAGCAAGTTTCCACCCCTAACCTTATCTGCGCTTTCTTTTCTGCTGTGAATGTTGATGCTCCAAAAAAACAATTTGTTTAGATAGCTAAAAAGTCTTTGCATCTTCTACAGAGACGCAGATAAGAGTAAAAATTGTACTGCTATGTTTACCTCTTAGTGAAAGTTTTTTTTATAGAATAATATTGAAAATAATTGTCTGCTTACTTACACTGTCGTGTATTAGGGGTAATAGAATTTATACCTCCTTATGGGTGCTGTTTTAATAATAAATAATTTTGGAAAGTGCTATTTAAGATACGTCGATTGGTATTTTCTTTTTTTTATATCTCAAATTTACAGGCTGGGATGGGAGGGGGGGGGGGGGTGGATATGACTCATTAGAGTAGCGATCTCACGAGAATAACACATACATACACATGCCTTTCATATAATATCGTTTTCATCGTGTGTAAGTGGACAGTAAATTGTTATTTTATCCATCAAAAATTTATTTACGAGTTTCGAAAGAAGAAACACTATTCTTTTGCCTTAACGAGTTAGGAAAGAAGAAATATTATTCTTTTATCGAAACCAGTTTCAAAAGAATTCTTATTTTTTTTATGTTAGAGGGGGCAGACGAGCCACCTGATGGAAAGTGACTATCGCCGCCCATGTACGTCTGCAACTCAGGAGTCACAAACGCGTTGCCGGCCTTTTAGAAAGGAGTACGCTCTTATTCTGAAACTTGGTTTCGTAGGTGGCCGAAGGGTAAATTATGTTTACGCATCGCATTATAAAACTTACGTTACGACACTCGCCACTCAAAATAATTCCAATTTGTTTCAGATTCTAATTGAATATACCTACTTTATCCCACGAGTACCTAATGACGATTCACGTAGGTACAGCAATAACCCATGAAATCAGGCAGTTTTAAAATAAAAAAGTAACACTATTTTATTGTGTAATTATTATTTAAAATACTATTATTACACTTAGCTAAAGATTATTTTTAGTAATTTGATGAGAAAACGTCAACGTAAAATGTTCATAACATTATATGCCAAACTTTAAAACCTTATTATCTATATACTTATCTTTTACCACAAAATTTAACTTATTTTAAAGAAAGTTATGTAAAAAATAATACATTAAACTTATGAACCAGGTACATATATAACATTGGACTACCAAAGAACCACCTCATTTTCCCTACTTATACTTTTGATTTTTGTCAAAATACTTCGTGATTTGGTTCACAGACAGACCGGTCACTAAAGCAGTCACCAAGATGGTGCATTGTTATCTAAATAATTTTTTTAGTGAGTCCGAAACATGGAGGTACTCAAAATAACCATTTCGAATAACTTGAAGTTGCTCGTTTTGTCCTATATCATATTCATTTTAGAATATTACTCAAGATCTGTGATAGATGAAAACTATAGCAGGATAATAGCGTTTTTTATTTATCACTATATCTGCTGTGGTTTGCAAATTAATTGAGTAATCTCAAAACGAGCCATAATATTTTAGGGTTTTTCTTGCTAGATAAGCGATTTTGTGCTATTGTCATATTAACCAACACTTTATCCTTTAAAATTGAGCTTATTTTATGGTTTTTGTTTAAATAAAGTACAGCATAAGTCAACTTCGTAGCATGTATTGTGAACCTTACAAAGTGTCTCATGCTGGAATTGCAGAGCTAATTCTAGATTAGTTGGGAGACCGGAATGAATTATGGGACTGAGTTAAAGATAAGTGTGTTCGTTTGGATTGATGAGCCACTTTCCATATCTTCATGAAATTAATATTATTATTTAGTAGTAAATTAAAAAAAATTGTAGCCTTTATCCTGGATACAAAAGTATAATACTTTTAAAGTTATACGAACATAAAGGTGCCTCCTCAATCTAAATTTTTGGATTGAGGAGCCACGTCAGAACTAGGAACATATAGGATGTATATTTATCAAAATTTAGTCTGATTTTGTAGTATTTGAGATTAGTTAATAGACAAAATCTGAGCTCGGTAATGTTAAAATTAAAATAAGTTACCATACATTATATATGTGGCTCCTCATGACCGTACATACGATTCTCATTTTTCAAAAAAGCAGTCTTTCAATTGATGTGCAATTTCTTCATCATTTAATAGTAACTATGTTAAATTTGTAGTCTAAAGAATAAGTAATTAAAAATGAGTGAATTGGGAGATATGGCACATTTTAACTGGCTCGTCAGTTAAAAAGCTTCGGTAAATAGATTTCACTGTAAATATACTTCTAGGAGGACCTATTTTTTCGTTTCGTAAAAACACATCTATTTTATTTTATCTTATTATTACGGGGTAACTGTAAATTAATATCTTTACCTATCTACCCTCAAAATATTTTTTTTAGAAAATTGACATTCATTAGCGTTGAAATTTACTTGTTTGCGCATAATAGTTTTCTGACGTTTCGGGCACAAATATTCTCAGATACTTGTCCGAATCAACATTTTTTAATTTGATATTTTTTCACTGACACCACCCGAAAAAGCTATTTTGTACAGTCAGATACAAAAACATGGTTTGCTATCTTTAGATAGTATAAAATGAAGTCGCTTTTTTTGTGTACGTTTAGATCTTTCAAAAGAAAGTGATTCAAGAGGCGGGTTAATATGCATATAATAGACGAGGAAATCCGAGATTTTCAAAGATTTGTGATGTGAATTCTTAAAAAACATGTTTTTTACACCTTACGAGATAGATCAAAATAATGTATTATGGAATTGTATATCTTAAAAAGATCTACAAAAAAGACCATGATGTTATATGTCTATAAAGATAACCCATTAACCATTTGTATATTTTACATATTACAAAAAATATTAGGTAATTTACGAATTTATTTTAAACAATAGAGTATTATTCCTTAGCCAAATAAATTAGGATGTTCTCTTGATGCTACAAATTCAAACACTTGCTACAAAATGTTTTTGAAGTGGAATACCTTTGACCTATTACTTTCATGGCAGTTTACGCTCTTAAATAAAGATTGAAGAGCCACATTAAAAGTATTGTTTATTTTTGGTAGACACTATACACAACTACTACTAAATGATGATTTTTTTTTTAAAAGTTATTAAATACTTTCAGTGTTCTAGGTTGCTCCTCAATTCAAATGTTTGGATTGAGGAGCCACTTTTACATTGATATAACTTTGGATGTATTTTACTTCGGATTTCAGAATTTGACCAACAAAATTATTTGCACACCTACTAAATAAGTTCCCTCACCTACTAAGTAAGGAAGATTTCGTTTAAAATCTGAAATGTCTCCTCAATTCATACAGACACAGATAACATTTGGTGATCACAAGCTACATTTGGTGTAATAAAGAAAAATATAATTAATGATACTTTTTATTATTAGTAATAAAAGCGAAGTTAGTAATCTACAATATTACACTAGAAGTTACGGAGACTTCGTTACTGTCGTTTAAAGCAGTGTATACAGTGTAAAAATCAGTGCTATTCATAAACAATATTTACTATTTAAAATGTCAGACAATAAAGCTATTAGGATGTGTGGAGAGAAATATTAATAAGAATATAATAATGATAAGATGAAGATTAAAAACACTGCTTTAATCATCATGTTATGGCAATGACAAGATGTTGCTGTCAATAATGTGCAACATGATCATCCAATATAATTACATAAAGATACATATCAATGTAATTTGGAATAAGTGTGACAGTTTGATAACTTTTGATTAAAAATATCTATATTAACTTTTTAAATAGTACTTTAATATTGACGTAAACATAGGATGGACAATGCTATAAAACTTTGTTTTATTTTAATATATCTCTAATATAAAGTATATATAGAAAACTTATAAGGAGAACTGTCAACACACAGTAACACTGCTGTTAGGGTTAGTATCTATTAATAAAATAAATATATATTGAGATACATATATGTTATGAAAAATCTGCACTGCATTTTTTATTGTGTAAGTGATTAACTACTATTTCTAACGTTATGGTGCACCTTAATTGCGTAATAGCAAATATAAACATTATTTCTAACACAACATTAAACAAGTTCAAAATTGATGATGACTTATAAGTAGTGCACATGTATTGTTGTTAAAACAAATGAATGTGATCATTCGTCCTAATAATTCAGATAAATTACTGTTAATATATGTAAATAATTTATCTAAGCATTTTTTTCCCAGATCATTACAGTTGCATTTCTTTATAACATTGATCCAAGATTGTAAAGTTTCTGTTTATATCATTTAGTTGTATTCTTCATCTTCATCCATTGCAAAGTCTACACCCGAGTCAACAGCACAAACAGGACTGAAAGGAATAAAAATTAAATTTAACATCTGTTTTACTGTACAGTTGATATACGGCAGGAAATTGAAGCCTTAAGTTGGACATTCAGTTTAATTTGGTATCTAGGCCAGTTTCTCACTATAGTTTGAATGACACCACCCTTAGGAGACATTCGTTTCTGATGGGTAGTGTCAGATAGCTCAGGATGTTGAATTAAATCAAGTTCAATCATCAAGTTTTTATTTTAACATCTATTGAAATATATCTCAATCAAGCATCAATAGGCTGTGTTTATTATATACATAAAGCTTTAAGATAATTTTGAATTTTTAACACAATGCCCAAAAATGTTAGCTCTTAACAGTTTTTTGTATAAACTTTAAGTACTAGTATATCATACAGAGCAGAGGGATAAAAAGAACATAATTAATTATCAATTTTCAAAAATGCTTTACTGTTATTACTGCTGTTAGTCTTTAAGGAATCTTACCTCATAGCTCTACATGTGAAGAAGACGATTCGTTTTAACTTTCTATTGTAGAAAAAGTAATTGAAAGCCCACAGACAGCCTGGTTCACCAAAAGGGTCACTGGCTAAATCTGGATTGTAACTGTATATGCGGCATTCAGGCAACATCACTTCTTCATCCACAGAGGTCCACAAGGCCGGTCGCAGCTGTCTCCACCGAGCTCCACCAACAGCAGACAGAGCTGCATCTACAGCACTTTGCACCCAACTCAATGAAGGTTCAGCACTAAATTCGCTACTCTGTTTTAAAAATAATAATTATATAACATAAAAATTAAAAAATGTGCTTAGATATTGATGCTTATTATTGTTAGATAACCGTGGTAGTTAGATAGTAGACTATAGAGTAGTAGAAAGGAATGTTCAAACTTTGTATTGGTGAGCCCTCTCGGTTGCCTCCTTTTGTGGGATGATGTCCTCACAGAAGGATGTGACTGCAGTAAAGAATCTGTCACTACCAGCCATAATGAATATGACAATTGGTAGCCACAGATCCCCTCTGATGACTGCAGTGAGGGCCCCATATAATATATAGCATCTATGTGTATAGCACTTATCATGGGGTACTTTGATAATGGAAAGCAAGATTAAACAAAATTGAATCTGTATTAACTTTATAATGAAAAAATAAAAAAAAATACTAAAAAAAATCAAAAAATTTGGATTGAAGGCATTGGGTCTTGATTCCAATTAGTATTATAATTATGTAACTCTCTTTACATTATATATTGCATGCATGTTATTTGAGAAAGCTTGAAATAAATTAGAATTTGAGGGGAAACTGAACTGTTTTATCTATAATCTAGAATTGACACACTTCATTGTGTTAATAATATGAGGAAACTTGAGAAGTATATAGTATAGTCATAGTTGACAAAATTATTTACTTGCTAGGAATAAAGATAGTTATTTACATTTTTTATTAAACCTTTTAACTTTAGGCTCCTTTTAAATTGCCTGTTATAAACAATATAATGATAATAAATAGGATAGATTTCTATGTTTAAAATAAATTCTTACACCTGTATCATTAAATGTAACATCTTAAAGTAGAACCTGAATTGTCTTCCATTATCAATTTTAACATTTTATTGATTTGATATCTTGATAAAAACGTTTAATATAAAGGATTAGAAAAGAGCTACTGAAGATGTCACGAAATAGTATTTCATACAAAAGTGTACCACAGCTATCGTTTTGATGTTTAGAAAAAGATAGTGATTTGACTTAACAGTTATCTACCCTATTATAACTGTTGCTTAACATACATAGAACAATTAAATTTATATCTATTACATATCAATGAACCAATTGGAATGTAATAAACATATAAATCTTTTATGATAAATATCGTCTTATAGGAATCGACTTGCCTTGGCCATTGAAAAATCATAATCTGGAAAAGCAGCATTTAGTGTAGCAATCAGATAAAACAAAGTTTTCCGAGATATGGTGTCACAAAGCACACCATCTTCATCACCAGACAAACTTCGGCTAGAACAAAAAAATCTTAGTTTTATACCTCACATCAGGTTTGGCAAACAAAAAAAACAATTTTAATATTTACCTATATAACATTCCCTCCGGTGGGGATAAAGCCTGGAGGTTGTGTGTTGTTTCCCCATCTGCTGTAAATCGCTTATAAAAAGCTTTTTCTGTGCCAGCCATCTTGCAGCTGTAACTCTCAACGCGACCCTGAACGGCACTGTCTCCGTTCAGGATTGAAAGAGCTCTGCTAAGTGCCTCTAAACGGCCACTCTCTAAAAGTTTCATTTTCTCTACCTATTACTTTCCTCTTATTTACCCACTCAAATTGTATGTTTTAAGCGGTGCCTTTATATTTGTGCAGCACGGTGCACTATTTCTGTACATAGCCGTGGGGTGTATAAATATTCCTTTTCTCTTGGAGTGTAGCAGGTTTACACTCGGAATCAATTGCGTCTTCTGTTCTTCTTCCGCGCTGATGGGATGCGGGAACATCACAAATAAGAAGAAAAAAATAGATTTTACAAATTGTTGTATTGAAGCAAAGTATTTATAGCTTGTTTTGCTCAAATACAAAGAGAGCGCGTCACTTCACTTGTTGTCCCACAAAAATTGTTACAGTAATTGCACTATAGTTAGAACTACAGATCAATATCCATAGAAGACATGGTCACAAAACAATAATAAAACAACACAGTTATATAATCTAATAAAAGAAGTTTCTTTATAAATAAGAATTATTATGAAAATAGGCAGGTAATAACTCTGTTACGATAATATTCAATGCCATCAATGGCGAATACAATACAATGTTGCCAAGTTTTAATCTTGTTGTTTTGTTTAGAATAAGGGACACGAGAAAAGAATACGTGATAATTATTTTATTAGTTTGTTAAGTAATTAAATTTTATTTGTTAAAGTTCTTTTTCTTTTATTAGTCGTCATTTACTAATGCCTGGACTACGCCTGTACTAATCTTCCACTGTGTAATATCAGTCACAATTTTTCTGTTTATTCATTTTCTAGCCATATTCTCTTTCTCACAGTTCATTCGTATTTTCTTTAGTAGGGCCTCTACTAAAATTAGTGGGCAAACATTCAGATCTACACAGAATGACAGGTTTGGAAACTGTGTTATAGGTCCCCTTTCTGATAAGGAACTTGGTATCACATATTGTATTATCCCTGTAATATGTTGTATTAATTTGATACGATACAATTCGGTCTATATCACCATAGCTTTGTAGGATTGCGCCAAGGTAAATAACAATTTGATTTGATTTGATGATGATTTACTAAAAGGTTACGGGACTAGAAAGACTGCTGTACTCATAGAACATGTACCTACTTAGTTCGTATTTTTTTTAAACATTCTATTTACCTCTGCTATTAAATTTCCGCAAAGCACCCCATGGCAAACTTTTAAATTTAAGGAAAAAATGTCAGTCATATATACTTTCTTTCCTTTCTAGAGTTACTTTCACAAAAACAAGTAGCTTAGGTCCGTTTCCGAGGTCCAGTCTATCAGTCCCTAGACCAACTAAGTACCTACAATGTAGAATTATACTATCTTTAATCTTTTTCTTTTGCCTATGATTTTATGTAAACATTATCAAAATCCAAAGCGATATAAGTAGAGAGAGAATATAGCTGCCAGTAAGTGGAATCGATACAGGTAACGAGAGAGATGGATGCCGGATGGTTCCCTCTGACTGTGTTTAGCTAAGCTGCGCTTGACTATTGTGAAGTTGTCAGGGTTTTGATCGTAGATCAGGTGGGAGATTAGAAATTTCTCCAGCTTACCACAGAGCTCGACTAGAAAGAAATATCTAGAGAGAACTATATTTTATCCATCTCTCTCGTTGCCTTTATTGCAAGATTGGGGCTCTTGTTCACTCTATGCTTATTTTTCTATGTCAAAATCAGTTTATCAGTTGTCAGACGCCAATCTGTTTGTGTTGTTTGTGTAATGTGTTGCGTTTGGCAGTTGTTAGACTACTCAGACTTGTCACTCTTGTCAGTTTAGTAGTTACCGTGCTGCAGCCTATGTTTGCGCTTGCATTAATTTAGTACTTATAGTACCTATATTGCTTAACAGTTTTGTATATATTTCTTAGAAGGCTTTTAAAAGTTAGAGTTGTAGTTAAAAAGACACATTGACATTGTTGCGTGTGAAATGCTTTCCTTGTCGAAAACTTTTACCAAATTGTTGAGAACTACCTGTCCTAGATGTTATAAATTCCAAAATTACGGTATAAATTTATAACAATTAATTAACTCATTACAACTTTGGTATTTCTTACAACATGTTTAATTCTAGATTCTCGGCTCTTACATTAACACATCTATGTCATATTTCAGCGACTCGCAAGAGATTTTATCGCGGTACTAGTGTTGTACAGAGTGATAACAAATGGGAGGTTACCTTAGACCATCGTCGTCTAAAAACACCGACAGGTCAGGTGTTCGCAGTGAATAGTGAACCACTGGCACGAGCTATAGCAGCAGAATGGGATGCCCAAATTGAACACATAATACAACCTACTATGCACTTGGTTTGTTCAATCAATCTTCTTATTATGGATGCTTGCATAACTTCATTAATTCAAGTTTGAAAGTTAGATTTTTATTTAACACCATTATGATTCAATAATGATATCAAATAAAGATTTGTTTTTATAAATGTACAGGAAAATAAATCACTGCCTAATTTCATCCGTAGACTGCAATTTGCAATACAGCGTTGGACAACCCAGGCAAAGTAACATCCCATGACATTGCTAGTTTTCTGCTAGACCATTTGTCTACAGACACTATTCTGTTCTACTCTGAGGTAAGTTAGGAATACTGTATAAACTGTTTTAGAGTAAATTACTAAAATTACCACTCAATCTAGTTCCAATCAAATAAATCTCTTTTAATCCAATATGTATAAGATATTATTAAAATCTTCATGCCTTCATGTTTAAATACATTTTGATGTGTTTTTGGGGTACAAATATAGTTACGTTTTTTTCTGCGAGTGATATGTTCATAAATATTATAATAAGAAACTCCAAGTATATTTATTTTGTAGATTTTATCACTGCTTGACAAATACGTCAGTACATATTATGTAATTATGTAATATTATATAGATCAATAATATAAATAGTAGGCCAAAACCTTCTTTCTAAGGAGAGGATAGGCCTCTCCTTAGAAAGAAGGTTTAATTAAGAAGAGAGAAGAAGAAGAGAAGAAGAAGAGAAGGTAGAGAAGGTGGAAGAAGAAGAGAAGAAGGTAGAAGGTTTTAGAAGGAAGCTTTAATAGTCCACTGCTGGACATAGGTCCAGCAGTGGACTATTAAAGGCTGTTGATGTGATGTGATATAGATCAAATCTGTATTAACACTTATCTAACACTATTTATACATTACCTTAGCAAAGCCAGGGAAATTTTACATTTTAGCCTCTAAAATTTTTTTAAAGGAAGAAAAGGATCTACAAACATTACAAGAAAAAAAATGGACTCCTGTCATAGACTGGTTTGAAAAAAGATTCAATGTCAAACAAGAAGTGGCTACAGGATTACTGCCACCGCCTGTCACCATTGAGACACGAGCAGTACTAGCTAGATACTTACTGTCATATGGGTTTGCAGCTCTTAGTGGTGAGTAAGCTGACTTTCAATATGATATAGTACTAGTCACTCTGCAAAAGAGCAGTACAGGCAAGAACATTTTGACAAGTGATTACATGAAGTGAAGTGTTTACATGAATACGAATGCTAGTAAATATAAAATCTTGTCCTGACATGTCCAAAGTTGTCAGGAACAAGACAACGCCAAAAATTTCATTTTGAATGATATGATATAAGGTTGTTGTTTATATCTTTAGCAGATCTTTTAAAGTAATACTTTTGGTCATACTTTCCACCTGAATCTCTTAATTTGTACTAATATAATAAGTAAGTTAAAACTGTCTCTTTGTTTTGTATACAGCTATGGCTTTCGGCACAGAGGCACTCAAGTCACCGATACTCATGATTGCATGTATTGAGCGACTCATAGAACCTAAAGAAGCAGTTCTGCTAGCACGGCTTGAAGAAGAATATCAGGTTTGCACTGCAAAATATAATAGCCTTGAACATAGTACTTGAAGTTTTTTGGAAGTGATCCCATATTCACCAGTACACTTTTCATGCTGCTACTAATATTGCTCAACATTATAAAAAAAACTATAGTGAAAGTGTAGAAAATTTGGATTAAAGAAAAGATTGCTTAGGCTTCAACATATCTGATGACAAGGAATTAGACGGGCTCCCTTTCAGCACTGGCTCACGTAATAACTATGGACTTCTCCTCCCATTCATGTGGTGACGGATTAAGAATACTAAGGGAGCAAAATATGCAGGAGATGAGATTGTCACTGGTGTCACATCGATTAGGCTGTACACTTGAACCGGAGCCCAAGCCTATCCACCCTCCCTGTGATCTGGGGGGGTCTGGGGATCTCAAAGGGTGGCAAAGCAAGAGTCACAAGCTCTTGAGTTGCAGGTGTCCATTAGCAGCGGTAGTCACTTACCAAAAACACATATATCTTTATACAACTTGTACATCGTATCTTGAACTCGATTACCTGAAGCTCCATTAATTTGACTTTAGGGAATCAGCAAGTCTATGAAAAGGTCTGTGAGAGAATGAAGGAAGTCAAAATGAATGAATATAAAGTGTGGAAGAAAAAGGCAAAAAAAGCGGTAGCGGTAGCCAGAGCTAAAGCTCAATATAACATATTTAAACACCTACATGAACCTAGCGGTCAAAAAGAACTCTACCGCATTACAAAGAACAGGGAAGAAAGAGCAAAAGACCTGAAGCATGTGAGATGTATAAAAGATGAAGAGGGGAGAGTGTTGGTTAAAGATGAAGATATAAAAAAGCGATGGAAATCTTACTTTGAAAAACTTATGAATGAAGAGAATAAATGGAGCGGAGTGCTAAAGCATGTGGATGTGAATGTCGGACTGGTGAACGAGATTAGTATAGATGAAGTTAGATTGGCAGTACGAAGTATGAAAAATGGAAAAGCAGTTGGCCCCGACGGTATACCAGTGGAAGTTTGGAAGCTACTGAAAGAAGATGGATATAAGTGGCTGACTCTATTCTTCAATATGTTGTTGCTTGAAGAGGTAATCCCAAAGGAATGGTGTCAAACCCAACTCGTACCCATTTTCAAAAACAAAGGAGATGTTCAGGAATGCAACAACTATCGAGGAATAAAGCTCATGTCACATACTATGAAAGTCTGGGAGAAAGTGATTGAGAGAAGAATAAGAGATGAGAGTCAGATAACCCAAAGTCAATTTGGGTTTATGCCAGGACGCGGGACAACAGATGCTATATTTGCAATGCGCCAACTATGTGAGAAATACAGGAGTGCGCACAAAAACTTGCATATAGTGTTTGTGGATCTCGAAAAGGCATATGATAGGGTACCCCGAGAGGTTTTGTGGTGGGCTTTGAAAGAAGAAAGAGTGCCTGTTAAGTATGTAGAATTGGTTCGTGCTATGTACAGAGAGTCTAGCACTCATGTAAGGTCGGTCACGGGAAACACTGATCAATTCAGTGTCTCTGTAGGCTTGCACCAGGGATCAGCTCTGAGCCCATACCTCTTCCTGTTGATAATGGATGCTCTGACATCGGACATACAGGAGGAGGCACCTTGGTGCATGCTATTTGCAGATGACATTGTGTTGGTCGGTGAGGATGGGGTTGAGGTCCAGAGCAGACTGGAAAAATGGCAACAAAGGCTGGAGAATGTTGGCTTGAAAATCAGCAGAACCAAAACTGAGTACATGTTCTGCGATTTCGGCGGTCTCTCCAGCCCTGAAACCATTTCGCTGGATGGGATAGCGATAACAGTCTGCTCCAATTTCAAGTACCTCGGCTCCCTCTTACAATGTGATGGTGAGATTGATCGAACTGTACAGCATCGAATCAATACGGGATGGATGAAGTGGCGGCAGGTAACGGGAACAACTTGTGACCCCAGTTTCCCCTTAAAACTGAAGGGACAAATTTATAAAACTATTATCAGACCTGCCGAACTGTATGGTTCTGAAAGTTGGCCCATTAAGAGAACGGATGAGAGACGCCTGAACGTAGCCGAAATGCGAATGCTGAGATGGATGTGTGGTGTGACTCAGATGGACAAGGTTAGGAATGAGTATATACGAGGGAGTCTGAAAGTAGCGCCACTGGATGAAAAGTTAAGAAGTAATAGGTTATCTTGGTATGGACATGTCATGCGGAGGGATGAGGAAAATGTGGCGAAGAAAGTTTTAGGTATGAGAGTTGAAGGGTATAAGAGAAGAGGCAGACCGAAGAAAAGGTGGATGGACTGCGTGAGGGAGGATATGGCTAGCAAGGGAGTAAACAGTGAGATGACGCATGACAGAGTAGAATGGAAAAATCATACATACTGCGCCGACCCCAAATAAAATTGGGAAAAGGGTAGGCAGATGATGATGGAATCAGCAAGTTTTATTAGTATAGATAAAGAGTAGTAAGTGTAGAAAACTCACTTAATGATGACACAAATAAAAAAATTACAATGATTTCATATCATTACTGCATTTAGGCGTAATTGATGTCAAGTTAACCGTGGTCAAGTGGAGCGTCCGATGAGTTGGTCGATTTTTATTAAGAGATTGTTATACGTATGCTGCTATAGATCTATTTGCAGTATGTGTAGTATATGTATATGTGTATGAGTATATGTGTGAAACATACTTTTGCTGCCCTAAAAAGACTTAAATAAAGATGAAATCCACCAAATACTCATTTAAAGAGAGAAATTAGTAAGTTGTTTCAAATTCTTTATTCAGCCTAATTAAGTACTCGACGTAACATTTAAAACAAATTAAGGGGGCTGTTGAAGCTGAAAAAGCTTGATAAGTCGCACCATTAAGAAGAAAGCTCAATTTTATATGGATTTAGTTTTAGCTACATAAATACTTCGTAGGTTACAAGTTTTATCCGTATCGTAACGTATCCTTACATACCTCACAATCATTTAACATTTCACCAGTTTCGGATATTTTGCCTTGTCTTCACAGAACATCGCCATTAAACAATAAGGACATAAACCCTTTTTAAAAAAAAAGTTGAACCGACTTCAAAAAACATCGACAAAGAGCACTAAAAATTAAAAAATAATTACAAATCTGAGTAAAAAAACTATAATAAGTACCCTCAATGTCACAGGTAACATTATAATACCAATAGTCCCTTCTAGTCTGTTTGAAGTCGGTGCCAAGCCAAATAGGTGCTTGATAGGCATGGTAGAATGTAGCGCGGCAGCTGCAACAGTCTTCATGCTGCGCAAAACATGATGAACGAGCTAAAGTGGACGCACATCTCCAATTATATTATTATTTTGAATTCTTTAATAAGTAGTTGATAAGTTTGCGCACGTCATTGATCTGGTTGGTCTTTATTAATTAACAAAATCTTCGATGTTTCATTAGAATTATTTTGAATTCTTAATTTTTCATTGTGCTAATATAAAGCTGACATAGACCAGTATTACTTATTGTGCATCGAGCTTGGCACCGACTTCAAACAGACTAGAAGGGACTATTGGTATTATAATGTTACCTGTGACATTGAGGGTACTTATTATAGTTTTTTTACTCAGATTTGTAATTATTTTTTAATTTTTAGTGCTCTTTGTCGGTGTTTTTTGAAGTCGGTTCAACTTTTTTTTTAAAAAGGGTTTATTTTACCATTTTTAGTGTAGGATATGAAAATGACATTGGCGTCCAAACTGATCAAGATCAGCTTAAATTCTTTTCTAAGAAACAGTCAAATTCTTGTGAGTTGCAACCGAACAAAATAACTTCCGATTCAATTGACACTGATCTCGAAGGTGAAGATAGGGAAGCTTTAGTGAGACTACTCAACAAATATGCTCAATATTTTATAGAAGGAGTTCCAACTAGAAGGGTTAATACTAGTATGTTAGAAATAACCTAGTTGACCCACCCAAAATTTAAGAGTTTTTTCCAGAACTATTTTAATAAATTAAGTATAAAATTACTTACAAACGAAATGCGATGCCATCCATAGCAACAAAACGTCTATCCGAATTATTTTAACAAGATAGAATACAAAATTTCAACCTTTTCTTCTTAATACAACGAAAATTACTGTGGTGACATAAATACTGCAAGTTCTCTGCGCATCACATCGCGCAGTCTCTGACAGTTGCAATGGTTTGTTTGGCTAAAGAAATACTCGTAGCTAAAACACGTTGTCGGGGTTGTCAAATTCCCAATAATTGTGAGGGTTTTACTCGATTTCTCTAGGATCCCATTATCAGATCCTGAATTGGTGGTAATGGGACCAATTCGGGATATACCCTTTCGATTACAAAAAGAATTTTGAAAATCGGTCCACAATTGACGAAGAAATCGCGTAACAAACATACATAAAAAAAAAATACAGACGAATTGAGAACCTCCTCTTTTGTGTTTTGGAAGTCGGTTAAAAAGAAAACATACTGTCGAATCAAAAACCCTCCTTTTTTGATGTTGGTTAAAAATCGACTAGCATGAAGCTCCTAGTCGAGACGAATCAAATGAGCACAAACACGGCGGAATTGCTTTATTTTATTACAGAGTTCCCATGGCTATTTACCGTCTCCATCATCAGACCCTGAATATCACATAGGATCGGAGTCCTTATTAATTAGACTCAAACACATTCAAATTCGATGGTATTACATAATTTTGTTACAGAGATCCCATACTCCTAAACCATTCATCATCAGCTTCATCATCAGCTCAGCAACATCAGATGGTGACCATTAGATGCAAAAATCTACATAGATTAAGATAATTTCTGATAAACAGTGTATATGCCTACAAAATTTGAGGGTATCCCTCGATTTCCCCAGGATCCCATCATCAGATCCTGACCTGGTGACAATGGGACCACCTCTGACGTATGACCTACCAAATAAAAAAAGAATTATTCAAATCGGTTTATAATTGCCGGAGTAATCGCGTAACAAATATACAAAAAAAAAAAAAAAAAAAAAATACAGTCGAATTGAGAACCTCCTCCTTTTTTTGAAGTCGGTTAAAAATGATAATAATTTCGAAATTTGTAAAATTTACAGAATTATTATATATTATTATTATAATTATAATTATTATTTGTATTTTTGTTGTAGTTGATCCGCTGGGGGCGCGTAACGTGGGCACATGAGTTAAATCAAGCAGAGCTTACATCGCGTGTGGCCGCCTCCTTATTAGTCATTCACAGCTCTGTAGAAAACCACACGACAAAGGCCAAAGCAAAATCTGAGGAAGAAAGCCAATAAAGAAAGTACTAAACATTGGAGAGTTTTATGTGCGTTTTATTATATTTCTTCCAAAATCTCACAACCATGAAATAGAAGCTTCTAATTAAACTTTTATATATCGCGGTACAAAACACTGAACTATCTAGTGTGTGTATATTAGCACAATATACAAACTTAAATTAACAAACTTAAATTCCTTATATACTTCTTAAATTTCATTAATCATTGAAAAAAATTACAGTATGTACAAATATATAAAAGGTGCGTCAAAACTGGGTCGCTGATCATTTGTATCCAGGTACTTTTAAGTAAATTCATTTGACCTACTTAATAAACAACAACCTAGAACTCTACACTCTCATTAGAATGTTGCATTTCCTACATAGACTGCTTTTATGAAAATCAGGAAGTTAAAAGTGAAATGAAGTGAGGTCGGAGCACCTATAGTGTTAAAGAATGAAATGAAAATAGCAGAAACGAAGTCGCGAAGTTCTGCTAAATTTAGCTGGGCGGGCGGAGTGCGACGCAGGCGCAGCTAATCGTCAGTGCCCGAGACCGACCTCGCTTTGTTCACAATCACGAACTGTGCGCGCCCTGTGTTGTTTATTCATTTAGTGAATAAATCAACTATTTAATCTGCTTGTTTCCTATCGAAATTGATATACTTTCTAATATTTCACGACATATTTTGATGTACGAAATGGCTTATTTAGGCAAATGCAATTGGATAATTTACACTACTTTGAACCATAAAATCCTAAATTGAGGTTAATATGTTCTAGTTTAAAGCAGACGTAAAAATTGTTAAGTCAGTTGGGGTCACCGCTACGTAAGTACTTTCAAGTGTTATTTATTCACGTTCTATTTAAAGCGCAATTGAAAATTTCAGTTTGCTATTAAATGTAAAAGTACAAAAACTTACAAAAATAGTACTAAGCTAGGTTGCTACTTTTTATTTTAGAAGTATATGTACTTATGTTTTAAGCCAAATTTGTAGCCGGGATTTTTGAAGGCCATTGAATTAGTTAAAATTGTCATTATAATTTGTTGTTAATATAATTTATTTGTAATTATAAATATATTTAGTTGTGAATAAATGGTAATGTATTGAGATTTCTCCTATAGAGGAAACAAAAACAAACCATGGTAAAGGCCATATAAGACTAATAAAACGGGCGCGTTTGTATTTCAGGGGTGATGAACAACGACGTAGAGATAGACGGTCGCCCCCGTCCGTTGTCAACGGGATTGTGGACGCTGTTTTCTTGGCTTCGTCGTGACGATCGATCTGATTCTAGCGAAAGTCTCTCTAGCGCCGGCTCCGACCGTACCGTTGCAAGCTTCGCTTTCTTGACACCAGCTCATTATCGCACTACAACGAATCCAATAGTTCTTCCTCCACCTGGGCCTCCGACTGACTCCTACAAAAAAAGAGTACACGACAGGAATCTTCGACGGCAGTATGATCGCGACATAACTTTACATCGCAAATACGGTTTATTTAAAAGTGGCGAAACAAGTTGCGGTTACGACGCTTTGAGTTTACCGCCAGTGCGAAGAATAGTCAGCGAGTCTGGTAGTAGATGGGATCGAGATAGAAGAGCCACAAGCGAGTGTTTCCAGAGACGACTCGCACATGTGCCGGGAAAGCGCCGCGCTCCTTTGCCGCCTGTAGTAACCGTTCCTTCGGCTCCATCTTCGTCTCTAAATCGACGTAGTACCAGAAAACGTCGAGCACCACAGCCGCCAATAAAGATAATAGAAAACAATAAAGAGAACTTAAAAACCCTTGAAGGAAAAAAGTTCATAACACAAATGAACCCACACTCAAATGACAAGAGACAGAAAATTCGAAATAGCGATGTCACAATGGATTGTAAATCTGAAAAATATATTACAAAAGAAGGACAAACTAAGGATACAAAACATAAACCTGAAAAAAGCTTCCTTAAGCAAATTTTCGATAGCAAAAAGAGAAATTCAGGTGTCGATATATCATCTGTGAAATTACTGCCAAGTATAAGTGAGTTAGATAAACAAGCTGCTGAAATTATAGAAAGCTGTAAATTAAATGCTTCGGAAAAAAGTAATAATGTTAAGAGTGAAATACTAGATAATATAGATGGCCAAAGTGCCGGTCAGTTTGAAAGTTGGATTTGTGTTAGTTGTTTAAGAAAATATAAAATATCTATAGTGAAATGCTTATATTGTTTACCTAATCAAGAAGTTAATCAATCTGAGCAAGCAAATGACAAATCGAAGGCTTTAAGTAGCTATACCCAAACAGAAAATAATTTATCTAATTCAGAGTCGGCAATCAAAAATACAAACGAAGAAAAACAAAAACTCAAAGAAATGTTAAAGGAAATGAAAGATTCACTTCCTAAGCGACCCAAGCACGTAAATGAAACATTAGGGGTTAAAACGTCTTTAATTCCATCTACTCGCGAAAACAGTCCCTTCTTAACAGAAACACCAACCCTACGGGTTGGCTGTACCATTGAACCGTCGACATCCCATAACATTATCAGATCCCAACTTAAAGAAGTTACTTCAGGTAACCGATCTTCACCAGTAAAACCAATACAAGTTAAGTTAGATTATAAAAATGATCAAAACTGTGAAAACTTAAAAATAAAGGATATTAAGAAATCAAATCAAAACGTAAAACCTGTAACACATATTGAAAAAATGAAGGTGACTAAATCTGCACTGGTGACCTCAATACAACAATCGTCGGACCAAATAAAAAGTAAACTAGATTTACATACACCTTTAAGAATATCATCTTTATTAAATCCGGTGTATGTTTCAAAGAATTTAGTTTCGAATAAACCCCAAGATACGCCTATACAGGCAGCGATTCAGACAGAAGAACAGAGAATACTACAAGTTACCTTTAATAAACCTAGTATTATTTCTAAACACACAAATAACCCAGCTACGTCCATTGATGCATTAGCTGGTCCGTCAACATCGGAAAGTCAGTTGCCTGTTACTATTAACAAAGTTGAAAATAAATACAACAAAGAAGAAAAAAGGAAGGATATAGAACCACATGTGTTATTTCAGAGAGGTAACATTCCAGCCGTGACAAAAAAAGACACAACTGCAGATTTAAATCATAATAATAAAATTAGCAACCTTTTAGAAATGACGTCAGCTAAAGAAAACAATATAATAAAAAAAGGCATTAATCCTGATCAACATACGAGACGTAGAGACCTTATTCATCAACTAGAACAGTCAATAGCTAAAGGAGATGAACGTGCAGCAGCTGAAGCTGCATCAAAGTTAGCTCAGTTGCGATTGTCATGTTCAGTATTGTCATTCTCGTCCCAAATATTATCTCAGCCTTCGACATCTAAGGCGAATACTGATTTTGAAGGTGAAAAGAACCAAGAGATGAAAAGAGCTAATAAGGAACCTCCAAAAATAGTTCCTAATGAAAAAACAAGAAACGATACGAAACGATCTCAAAATATTGCTGTCAATAAGATAATACCAAGTTCCGTTTCACATCAACTAAATGCGCCAAATATTTCAACCGTTATTTCTTCATCATCTATAAAGGACACACCAAAAAATAAAAATTCAGTTATCCAAAAAACTATACCAGAAGCAAAAAAAACTGATGCGACTCCAAATGGCACCATGACTACGTGAGTAGATGTTTAACTTTTTATAGATATATATTATGATAATATTACTAGCAATCCCCCCCCAGCCCCAACCTCGCACTGGTCCAATGTCGATACTACCAATGCTACTGATGTGGTGTCAGTGTGGAGTAATTAATTATACTATTATTATGATAGGACTATACTACAGGATATCTTTATGTGCAATATTTATACCAACTGCTCCAATTATTGCAACGACGGACGTACGACCCGAAGCGAATATCTTCTAAAATATTAATTTTATGCTTTTAAGAGTAATTTTACTTTACTTTAAATGCACAACGTAACTAACGTATTTAATTGGATAAGGAATAATAATGTGTTATTAAAAATATCTTCGTAAATAACCCATATTTTTTTTGTAATATTTAAAAGATAAAAATGCTTACTGTGGGTTGTCCTTATGAGGTAGACATATACCATCGCGTCTTTTTCGTAGATCTTTTTAAGATATATAATTCCGTAGTACATTATTCTGGTCTATCTCGTAAGGTTTAGCCAGCGTTTACAATGTAATCGCACAAAAAACAAGTTTTTTTGACAAATCTTTGAAATTCTCGGATTTTCTTTCCTATAAAATGCATGTATTAACCTTTGTCCTTGTGAACCTTCCTCTTGAATCACTCTCTCTATTAGTGAAAACAAAGCAATAAAATTCGTTGCTTAGTTTAAAAGATCTAAGCGTACAACACAAAACAGCGACTTTATTTTACACTACATATGTACTCGTCCAATTTTTGTTGAATTTTAGAATTGCTGTGTTGGTCGAAGATAGAGAAGCCACAAGAGGACCAGTTCACTTACGCATAAATCGACAAGCATTAATGAGAGACTTAAGAAGAGAGGCCGAAACATCGTTAGGATTACCCACTAATCTGCAACGTTGGATTGTTGGACGTGTTCTGTGTGTTAATGATAATATCCCAATCAGTTCCTTGGCTGGGCCTGATTTTAGCGCACCTTTTTACCTATGTGTTGTAGAGGCAGGTTAGTACCTAGTTTTTCTAAACTACTTGTTCATAACTTATCTTACAATGATATTACTATTGCAGCCAGCATTATAGAACTGGAGCATTGTAAAGCAAAGTATATGTTAGTAGTATTTAAGGGTTTGATCTTTTTTTTGGCCTTTGATGAAGGAGTACCTACGCTCTTTTCTTAAGATCGTATCGGTTCGGAAATACCGCAGACGACAACTTGTTCTACATATTGGTTGTGCGAGACAAACAGTGTCTTGAAAAGCGCACAGTGGTGGGTAGACAATAATTATTGTTGGAACTATGGCTTTCACGATTGTTAACGTTTTCAAGATGTATGTTAAAATGTATAGGTGTAAAGATTAATTACGTATGTCATTGGTACTTCTATTGTTCAAAACATAAACACCAACATCAGTGTCAGTTCTCATAAATATAGAAACCACAGATGTAGCGTAGCACACATTTCTTCATATTCTACTGTTATTTACAGGCCGGTTGTACAGGGTTTGATTTTCACTCAGAGTGAATAATTGTGTGATGAACACGAGCATTTGTAGTGTGTCTGAGTGTAATCCTTCTATAGGTATTTCGAAATATAAGTATGTTTAACAGCAGTCTGGTTACCATAGTACAGGCTCTGCCTAGTTTGGGATCAGATGTCCGTGTGACACTTGGGAGTTTACTATTATTATTAGTTTTTTTCTTATTATTGTTCTACTTAAATATATGAAATGTTTTAATTAATTTCAGATAGGCAGCATGAGTCGGCGTCAGGAGTAAATCAAAAAGAAAAATCTAATGATGAACACAACAAGTTACAAACCAAAGCTAGTGATGTTTATAAAGAGCTAGTGCAGTTGGAACAACAAGCGCTTGTTCCAAATGCAGAGAATTTTGAGTGTGGAGTTTGCATGGAAGAATATACACCTGGTAATGGAGTAGTGTTGCGTGAATGCGTGCATATCTTCTGCCGCAATTGTCTTGCGGATGTAGTGCGTTATTGCGATGAGCCTGACATCCCTTGTCCGGCTATGGGATGTCGAGGAATGTTACAAGAACGAGAAATCCGAGCTCTAGTGACTCCGCAAGATTATGAACGTTGGTTGGCACGAGGGCTAGCTGCGGCAGAAAGTGGCACTCGAAATGCATTCCATTGTCGCACGCGAGATTGTAAAGGATGGGCACTTTGTGATCCGGATGTTCAAAAGTTTCCGTGCCCAGTTTGTAAACATATCAATTGTATACCATGTCAGGTGGGTACTTTGTAATTTTTTTTTTAAGTCTCGATGGCATTAAAATCGCATTTCTTAGCACGCTGTTTATACCAGCAGGCAGTATAGTATAGATAATAAATCTATCTATATCGTTAATGTCTGCAATTATAATTTCCTGAATTTCCCTAAAGCCGTTTATTATTCGCCCTTGTAAAATTAAATAAATGAGCATGAACAAGTGTGTTAAAAATAAAATAATCGGAATCTAACACAGTCAATCAATAAAGTGTTTTTTTTAAAGGCGATACACGACGGGTTGACATGTGAACAGCATCGCGCAAAACTAAAGCAAGGAGTTGCTGGGAAAAGTGGTAACGCCAATTCAACTGACGATAGTACTCGGTCATTACTAAATGCATTAATTGCCAAAGGAGAAGCCCTGCAATGCCCAGAATGTAGTGCTATAATTACCAAAAAATGGGGTTGTGACTGGGTGAAATGTTCAGCATGCAAAACAGAAATATGTTGGGTGACTCGTGGTAGAAGATGGGGCCCAGGTGGTAAAGGTGACACCAGTGGTGGATGTCGTTGTGGCGTTGATGGAAAGAGATGTCATCCATCCTGCGGATATTGTCACTAAGGACTTTAAAATTTATTAATCATTATTAATATAGGTGCCTGCCTAAGGAATAGAAGCTATGTACGTATTGTATATAGGTGTTAAAACCTTTTTTAAATGTCATATAGTGTCTTAGAGCCTACGAAGTTATAACTGTCACACTGTCCATACATTTTGTTAAGCTTTGATTATAAATAGTAATAGATTTTTGATTTTTAGGTGTCTATTTATTCTACAAATTATACCTACAAAAATGCTTACTTCTTTTGTCATCTATTCACATTCTTTTGGCGATATAGGATCACGTACTAATGTGCCATGTTAGTGTAATGGTTGTTCTTTAGTTCCTCGTCACAGAATGGGGTTAAAGCTGAACTTTATGACACTTCTTCTGTGCTTATTTGTAAAACTTAATAACTTACCCGTACCCCCAAATAAGTTTTTTGCATTCTCTTGATAGAACGTACGAAACAAACGAACATAGCATATTGTCGATGAAGTTTTAACAGTTCTTAATTCATTTTATGCTGTTTTAACATTTTGATACCTATAGGGAAAGAGCACATGCATCCCAGTCAAAAAAGGGATAGGTATCCAATAGTGCCACATTTTTCAGTTGAGACAGAATTAATAGCTCGACATTCTGTTAAAAAAATACATATTAATAATAATAATAGAACAGTTTCATTTTTGTCATGCAGTTTCGCTCTGTAAAGTAGGCATAGTTATTCATAAGACTTACATTTCTAATTTTATTACATATCTAATCACTAATCATAAAATGTATTCATATTGTTCATCTATATCTAATATCACGCAGAAGCAAATTTTAACAGAATACTTACTTGTTTACTTGTTAATTACGTAGGCAAACCATAAAAATATTTAATAATTTAAACCTTTTTAGATATAATCACTAGATATTTAATATCATAAAAGTATAACAATATTTTGGGTATTATTTCAATTCACAACAATTCCTCATTTTTTTTATTGGTTATCTTTAATTTTGTAATTTAATATGTAGTTTATGAGCTTCTTAGGGGTGGCTAACTCAATTACACCTTTTTTCATTAAGTTCATTATGGTTTAATATAGGTATGTTAAATTCAAATCTTCAAGCCGGTTTTCAGGCTTCTTAAAAATATAGGTATTATAAGTTTTTGAAAGCAGCGATCTTGCCGCGCACCGCAGTTTTTTATGCCCGGCGGCGCTGCAGACACAATGTCGCCAACATTATGAACAGTATTAAATATTTATATCCATAAAACTCATCGTTTTTACATAAGTAACTGTATCTGCTAACAAATAATAGTGTTTTTAACGTTTTTACTTGGGTGAGCACACCCAAGTAAAAACGTGTGGCCCGTCTGTTCAAAAAGTGCGAAAGTTGTGAAATTTTCTGTGAGCAAAAGGCCAGGCTACAGAATAGTACAAAAACTACCCGGCCACTCCAATACAGCGAGTAAACACGACTAGCGAACAGTACAAGCCAATATATTTAAATTTGAATTGACGAAAGAAGAATTCGACATCCAAGGTGCTTCTTAGATATGAGAACCTTTCTCCTCAAGTGGCACGAAAGAGATATCATGTCCATATCATGATTCGATGAAGGATGGTGTTACCTGAATCCGATGCATGGTGTTTTAGGTACTGATCAGACAAATAGTTTATTTGCTTAGTAGATATCCCTTATTTTATCAACAAGTAAGTATCTCCGTAGGTGGACATATAAAAATATGTAGGAATACCCTATTGCCTCAATAATCAGTCTTACTATAAAGCCACCTAATTTACAGTTACAGTATGTAGTTATAGTCCATGTGAATCAACATTAAGTCTCAATGCTATACTGATTTAGCAGTAGGGCTAGACTATTTTTTTAGGTTAGTGCAGCCGTTTATATTTTGAGTAAAAATATTTCCACGTCTGCTGTTTGCCTGTCCGGAACACAATAGCACACTCGCAAGCGTGTAAATGGCATCCAAGCGTTTGTAAAGACTTGGAGCTTGTGTACACCAAGTGTTGCCAAGCCACGGCACGCATGTAAACTAGGCATTATACATCTCGTGTCACTTTGGTCGTAGTCGCACTCCTCCGAAACAGCTCGACCGATTTTACTGAAATGTTTTTTGTATATTTGGTAGGTTTGAAAATAGGTCATAAAGTATTTTTCACCCTCCTCACCATTTTTTATATAGCAGAACAACGTTTACCGAGTTAGCTAGTACCATGTAAATATACAGCTACATACCTATCAACATATACTTCATCAGAGGGGACTCAAAGGACGGTAAGTAAAGCAACGCACAACGCTTTGGGTCACGACGAAGGGGGTTTCCACACGTTACAAAAGTCACATCAAGTAACCTAAGTATGAAAATAAATGCAAATGTTTATGAGCTTCGAATTACTTAATTGAACGTAAGTGTGTGTAATATGAATCACTCAAGATGCGAACGCGGGATTCCCAAATATCCAATACCTGGCGATTGATTAACGTTGGGAAAATAATGGGGCGGCGGCGGATTGTCTCGAGAGGAAACACGGGACCCTCTGATACAGGCTGACGCAAAGGATGCTTTGGGGATCACGTGTGTCTGATCTGCAAAGAGACAACTCCTGGCTACCACCACTGCGATGGCCAGAGCGTGGACACGCCGCTGCCACACGGCCATGGTACAGAGTGAGCGCTGTTGGAACACCACTAATTCCTACTAGCAAATCATGCTCGCGTAGCACCAGCAGAGGCTTCGAACCGGCCTAACAGGCCCGGAACGGAACAAATACCCTGTTTAATAAACGTTACAATCCAACAATTTTGTAAATCAGGGACTTATTTGTAGTTATAAGACGTTTAGAAAAAATTACAAGTAAAAAAACATACAGATATTATCATTATAAATGCTGTTGATTAAACGTTAACATGTGCAAAAAACGCCTGTAGATTTCGATGACAACATTGTATCTACAAATTTGTAAGTTGTAATTAATTAAAATGTAAGTTTTTGTTGAAAATTCCTAAATTGAAGTTAGACTATTGTTTTAAATCTGACACTTCAAAAGTAGGTAGACGTTCAGTCATATATTCATCAAAACTACTGTCAATACTTCCACCTACTAGTTGTTAGAACTTTTTTTTATGTATAACAGTTAAATTGCTTCACTTATTAAATTGAGGCACAAAATTGTTAAGTTCTGACCCAAAACAAGTCCACCTGTGACCACGTTTAGTAAAACGGCTCTCCTTACAATTATGTAAATTATCACTCGTAAAAAGAAAATGTTCATTAAACACAAATATGTAAAATTTACAATTTTGTCAGTTTTATATGTTAATTTGGTGTGCGTTACCCCAGCAAAATAATGTCGAAAATGGTCATTTAAACTTTATAGATAATTAGTTGCTCCCCTTCTGTAATTGTTAAGCACATTTTTAAATTTGTTTCACTTAAACTTTTTTAGTTATTTCAAAAAAACATTTCCTGCTGGAGTAACGTTTGAAACGTTACCGCAGCCAGACATTTTCTTTTTTAATTGTAATATTGAAATAAATTTTAGCTAAATAATTAGTTATCTGGACTAGGTAAATGTTACAACTTATTTGGTATTTGTATTTTCTTCGGTTGCGAAGTTATTCAAAATCCTGCTGGAGTAACGTTTGTGGGTTTGCTGGATCTCTGAAACGGGTAAGCGGATTGTAACCATCTTTTGTAAATAACTTCTTAAGGATTAGTTTTAATTTGTTCGACAATAAAATAACAAAAATAATGGACCGTTTAAAAATCATTTAGGTAAGTATGAAAACACTTAAATACGTCCTAACACTTTAAATAAGACCTCTTAAGACTTACTTGAAACGTTATTCTATTGCTTGTAACTACCTTCAAATGTATACGAATTTTCGTAAGAATACTGTAAGTGACTAAAAAGTTATGATGAAATGTAGCTCTCCACGTTCACGATCACAATGTGTGCGGCCTTTTTTGGCCACCGATAAACCTGTGTGTGGATATATAAACTGAATGTTATGCCAATAATTAGTTGTTTAGTTCAGTTGTCTACCTGTAAAATTTCAGGGTAGTACATATAATAATTTACGAGATAATTAAATAAAAGTCATTAGAAGGTGCAAGACCGTGGTAACCCGACCATGTTTAGGTGGTTACAAAAAAGCGATCACCCAGTACATTGTGCTGGCTTTTAAAATATGTAGGATATTATTTGCAAGTTTACTACGGATATGTACATAAGTGTTACAAAAAAACTACATGTTTTTTAAATATTTTTTATTTAGGATTGTTTATTGCATAATTAGTAATCAGCCGGGAGATTAGGTATTGTTTTGAATGCTTTTGTTTTCTCGTAATGTTTAGGTGAATTGTTTATAGTTGTTCATAGAATTGGTACCTGCGTAGTATTTGTTAATTGAAGTTTAATTTTAGGGTAGGTATAGGTAATTTAAGAAATATGAAATGAAATGATAAGTTTTGAAGAGTGTAACGTATGCGTTGTAAATAAGTATTTTGTGAATAGATGGGGATTTTTTTAAGTGATGAATCGACTTAGGCTAGCATATCGCGAACAAACTCTGTATTGCATTATTTCTGTAATAAGGTCGGAGAAAATAAAATATTTGATCACAAAATCGCGGTGAGTTAAATAATAATAAAAAAAAAAAAAAAAAAAAAAAAAATATTTATGTAAAATTAGTAATAAGTGATATACCTACCTAAAAGTTATGATCGTTTTTAATTTGTTCACCCTGAACGAAATTTCAATATTAGCATTAGTAATTAATATCCTAAGACAAGAATGGACAATTACTTAAATTGAATCGAATTAGCATTAATGCCTATTATTAGTAATTAGGTACACACATATTGAAGAACTCTCAAGAATACGATAAATATTTGCAAAAATAGAAAGCGGAAGCGCACACGTACTTTACAACACGTATATTATCTGCCTAAGGGTCAAGTTTAGTGCACTAGATGCAAATTGCAAACAATGAAGTATCCCTTCGCCCCTCCCCTCCCGCGTTCTAGCGAAGGATGTATTATCAGCGATTCTTGATTGACAAATATTATCTGACCAATAATTTTATCTATAAAAATGTATCACTTTCACTCGATAAATTAAATTACCGTTATTATATCAAAATATCATTCAACAACTGTTCGTTTTTAACAGAAATCAACAGTAACGGGCTCAACGCTTAACGGTAGGTACATAGGTATAGATAATTCTCGGTTCTAGGTATAGACCACAGAACAATATTACCTACTCTTACGAGGTATACGTCTGTTGGGCGATGCAATATTGATGCATTCTAATTTACAACTGTATTCTTCTACTATTCGGTCTATTTTAACTTATTGTAGATAACTTGTTGCTTTAAATATTTTGATGCATTCAAGTCTAAGCTCTATACACCCCAAAATAAAATACAATTACTTTAGTGTTATTTCTTTACAAAAAAAAATCAAAGAAATGAAACGATTTCTTATTGGTTTAAATTTTCGTTTTATTGCAGTCAGGTGAATCGTTCATACATGTATCTACATATTTATAATTTTAGCGGACCAGTGCAGATTTTCTGTTGATTGTAGCTCCGGTAGTAAAAAAGACTAAATAAATTTTAAGTAAAGAAACTAGTGCTTAAGATCAATTAGGGAAAAAAACAAAATAAATAATAGGTAATAATAATGAATAAATATTGAATGTATTTAACACTGTACGCAACTGTACCGAAATCGTAAGGTGTATTACACTAAACATTTTAAAAGACAGCGCAATGTACTGGGTGATCGCTTTTTTGTAACCACCTAAACATGGTCGGATTAGCACGGACTTGCACCTTCTAATGACTTTTATTTAATTATCTCGTAAATTATTATATGTACGACGCTGAAATTCTACAGGTAGACAACTGAACTAAACAACTAATTATTGGCATAACATTCAGTTTATATATCCACACACAGGTTTATCGGTGGCCAAAAAAGGCCGCACACATTTTGATCGTGAACGTGGAGAGCTACATTTCATCATAACTTTTTAGTCACTTACAGTATTCCTACGAAAATTCGTATACATTTGAAGGTAGTTACAAGCAATAGAATAACGTTTCAAGTAAGTCTTTAGAGGTCTTATTTAAAGTGTTAGGACGTATTGAAGTGTTTTCATACTTACCTAAATAATTTTTAAACGGTCCATTATTTTTGTTATTTTATTGTAGAACAAATTAAAACTAATCCTTAAGAAGTTATGTACAAAAGATGGTAACAATCCGCTTACCCGTTTCAGAGATCCAGCAAACCCACAAACGTTACTCCAGCAGGATTTCGAATAACTTCGCAGCCGAAGAAAATACAAATACCAAATAAGTTGTAACATTTACCTAGTCCAGATAACTAATTATTTAGCTAAAATTTATTTCAATATTACAATTAAAAAAGAAAATGTCTGGCTGCGGTAACGTTTCAAACGTTACCCCAGCAGGAAATGTTTTTTTGAAATAACTAAAAAAGTTTAAGTGAAACAAATTTAAAAATGTGCTTAACAATTACAGAAGGGGAGCAACTAATTATCTATAACGTTTATATGACCATTTTCGACATTATTTTGCTGGGGTAACGCACACGTTAATTTGTAAGTTGTATTCTTTATTAAACAGAAACTTGTAGATTTGTGACTTGTAAAATACAATTACAATTCGTAACGTTTATTAAACAGGGCCCTGGTAATAAAATATTATCAAAATCGGCCCAGCCGATTATAAACAGCTAGCGGCGGCGCTAAGCACAGACAAAAGTAATTTTGACCCTATTACCTACCTCATAAGTTATTATACACGAGATATTTACCATGTTTATTCTCGGCAATTAGTTTCCGATATTTCGATACTGTTACAAGCTCCATGATCTCGGAAAATCTGAAATGTCCTTTTTTTAATACCTTTTCAAGTGAAAATAAACACGGTAGTTTAAAGTTTAAATCAATATGACTATTAGCCCCAATTAAATTCACATATATTATTTTAACTTATTGAAATAAACATTGTCATAATCAGTTGGAGGAAGGATGTATGTTTTCATGTACATATTATGCAGAAAAATTTACCTAAGGATAGGTAACATTTTCTGCATGTTAATTATAAAATGTCTATTTTTCTAAAAATACTAATTTTTAAATGATATAGCATAAGCAATGCTGTAAATAGAATAAAGAAACTTATCCTTTTGCACTTTCTAATGCCCAATTATCTAGTTGTCAAGATTTCTAGCATGAATAGGCCTATATATGGCATAACATGTAATATTCCCAAAACAACTTTAAATATACCTATATACCATGATTAATTTTATATAGTATCAGCATTAAAATATTCCATTGCTTTCCGTAATAAACATAAATTTAAACTGCAAGTTTAGCTTCAAAATACCTATATTCATATTACAATTGCCTTTCCTGTAAGAACACTTTTTATCATGAATATACATCTCCTTTAAGCTTGTATTTAAAAGTATTGAAACCACATGAGTACATAGTATTTCAACATTTTCTCTTTGTTAATACAAACCTATAATTTACAATACCTGTTACACATGATGTTGGGTTATGTTTGTATTTATTGATTAAGTGTTTAGATTAACAGGTAACATGACACTTATTACATCCACTTATTTAAAAATATGGAGATGCAGTCAAAACTTTCATTTAATTAGGTACTACAACAAACCAATTTTAATGATATTGCCTAACGTTGGCAAAGGCTCCATAAAGATGAATATTTTGCCTGTGCCACTTTGATAAGCTAAACAAAACTGAAATATGTCACACTGATTATTACTCAAACTGTAAATAAAAAGTATAGTTGTATATGACTAAATGTTAAAACCAATAAAAACAATTCTATCTTAATGGTAAAAATTACAAAAAATGCAAGATTGTAGAAGGCATTCTATAAGTTCACAGTTGCTACTGTTACTTTACAAGTGGAATATATCCAATAATACACTAATTAAACCTGCTTACACTCTAGTAATTATTACTTGCATTAAGACAGAAAATCCTTTTTTCGAAATGAAGATTCTAATTAGTAATAAAACTTCAACATATAGTTCACAGTTAAAAGCCACAGTTCACAGTGTGTTATATACACACCATCTGTTTCTCTGCTATTTTATTACAACTAACCCACAGAAGTTACAATCAAGTCCAGCGTGACACAATGTTCCTTACAAATACATTACTGAAAAAATTGTGCTTCACTGCAATACCTTTCAAATTGTTCTTTGATTTAAACCACTATATTACTAGTGTCTAATAACGTCGCATTCCTGGAGGACCTCGACCACCTGGACCTCCACGGCCCATTCCAGGAGGTGCTCCCATCATGCCAGGGGGCGGACCACCCATCATAGGACCACCTCGCATTTGAGGAGGTGCAGACAGCTGCCCACGAGAGCCCGGGGCCATATGCTGCTGAGAAGGACCACCAACACCTCTAGCAGGCCCCTGCAAGCCTGGAGGAGCGCCAGCCGGCCCAGCACCACGACCAGCCGCTCTACCGCCACCAGGACCACCAATAGCACCCGGTAGCGGCACACGAGGTAATCCTTCTTCTGGTGGGGGTGGACCCTCAATTGTTAAGGACACAATATTCTCTCCACGGAGCAATACAAAGCCCAAAGTTCTTTTCTCTTCTCTATCGGGGGTTTTGCTGTTTTTGGATTTAATTTTTCTGAATTCCTCGCAGTCTCCTAATATTAAATTCATATGTTTATCGAAAGCCTTGAATGTCCCAATAAAAGTTCGTGAGTCTTGAAGTATTACTCTGACTCTATAATTGATATGCTGTTGCATTTTATTATTCTTTCCGATAGTCTGTAAGGAAAAGAAACATTAATAATATTGACATTTTACCGGCTTTACCCGGTTAAATTGTCTAACGTTAAAGTGTTTGATACATTTTGTTTTGATTACTATATTTAAAAATAATATTTGAAATATCTTTTTCAAATCTAATGTGGTTTTATGAAAAGCGAACAAACCATTTTGTATGTTAGATGCGACGATACGACTAGGATGTAAAATTTAATCCTCAGATATCCTTAACTGTACCAAAATGACAGCTTTAGGAAACGAAAAACGAAACAAGACCACAGACTACAGTAATATTATTAGAGCAAGACAGCAAGCAAACACAAACAACACGAAATTGCCAACTAAAAAAATTACAGCTTTCTAATTTACTAAAACACTACTAAGTACATTCAGTCTTTTTAGTTTATATTGCTCCACTATAAAAAGTATCATTAAAGTTATTCAATAATGTTTAGAATACTAATTAAATACATTATACTCATTGTTAATAACAATTTTATTTTCGATAACGCCATTGAATCTGCTTTTTGGTTAAATGCTCTATCCTCGCCAGAGGCGGATTAAGTATCAAGAGTGCCCTATAGTATACCTTTTAATTCGATTCCAGATTTGACAATTTCAGTGTTGCAACGTTATTTTTTATTTATTTATTTTTTTAAAAAGACAACGCCCTCATTAGGAATAAATCCTGTGTCGCAGGGGACTTTACAAACATACATGAAACGGACACAAAGAACACCCAGACTCAGAACAACAATTTGTGGATCACACAAAGTGTCGTCCCATGTGGGGTTTGAACCCACAACACTCGGCGTAGTAGGAAGCGGCGTGGCGACCGCTTAAACCACTACACCATCCGTGCAGTCAGTTATGTTGTATAAATAAATAAAAATAATTTCGCAACGTCACTATTTAGTACTTGTCAGTTATGACAAGTACTAAATAGTGACGTTGCGAAATTATTCGATACGGAAATGGAATATTTCCGGATCGATTCCTCTCGTTTATAGTAGTATATCTAAACAACTACTACTTTAATAGAAACTAAGTATATCTGGCAATTAAATATTGCTGAACGGATAATGTACTTATGACGATTAATTTTATTAAGGATCTGAGTTTTCTTTAATAATTGTGTGTGAAATAAATAAAAAATGTGATCATGAAGGAACATGAGAAATAAAACAAATAGATGTATTAAGGTAATATTTTATTTTATAAATCGTCGCCGTTATCGCTATCGCTATCGCTGTCACTTTCTGTAACATTTATTATAAATGTGTCTGTGATATTGTCAAATAACATTTCTAGTCTACTCATTTTTTCCTCTTCTTTGACAACATGGGATACGCATTTAGACCATTCGGTAGCCGTAAATTTTTGAATGCCCTCCTCAAATAAATTTCGCACATCTGTTAATTTGAAGGTTTTATTATTTTGAGCTGCATGCCCCTTTACCTGCGCCCATATCAATTCGATAGGGTTCATCTCGCAATGGTAAGGGGGTAGTCTTAAAACCGTGATCCCATGTTGTGCTGCCATTTCGTCTACAACGTACTTATTTAAAGACTCGTTATGTGGAATCAGTTCTAAAAGCGTAGCTTTAACCATATCTGGTTGTGAATTCTGAAAATGAATATTTTTATTTAAAAGCCAGTTTTGAATGGCAGCTTTTTTCCAGCTCATTTTTGGTGCCGTTTCCAATTTTCGGGAGTGGTAAGGTGCATTATCCATCACCACAATTGAGTTTGGTCTTAATTTTGGTAAGACTCCAGCGAACCACTCCTCAAAACAAACTGCATTCATCTCATCATGGTAATCTTCATAATTTTTCTTTGCTTCAAAAATCATAAGCTCCTCTTCCAGGAAGCCTTCTTCACTACCTATATGGCTAATTATGAGACGTTTGCCTTTTCCAGATGGATTTTTTAATCCAGTGGTCAGTCCCTCCAAAAACGCTTGCCGAGATGATGTGACTTTCTTGTGCAACCAAGTATTTTTTACAGTATGACCTAAAAATAAATATAGTACATGAACATTCAATATTACTATTAAATTTAATGTAAAATGTATATAAATTCAAAATGTTAGCCTTACCTGCGTTAACTCAAGTTTCATCTTGATAATATATATGTCTCCCTTCTCGTCGAAACTGACATAAAGATCGCAAGTAACGCTGGCGCCATGTTATTATATCATTTCGATCAATAAGTGTGCTCTTGCGTGACCATGCAACAAATTTAAAATTAAGATGCTTCAAAAATTTTCTGAGGGTGTCTTTGGAAACCTTGGGCATTTCTGGATCATCGTTCATCACTTGTAAAATCTAAAATAGTAAATTTTATAATAGTTTGGAATCATTGCTTATATATAAAAGATGTAGGTATAAAATAATACTGTCTGACTGGTTGACTAACTTTTGCAATGGTTGGAGGTTCACTTCGGTAAAAGAACTGATGAACAATTCTTCGTATTTAAATTCATCAATTTTATCTTTGAAACTTCGCTTTGGTCCAGTTTTTTTAGGAGGAGTTGGCGGCGCACCTTTATTTCCTTCCTTCAAAACGTTACAAACAGAGCGTGAGGTTACTCCCAATATGTCAGCAACTTTGCTCATACATTCATTTTCTTCCACAACTTCAAAGGCCTCTAATTGCGCAGAAGTTTTATTTTTCACGTACTTGTAGGCGTTGCGGATCATTACTTTTTTAGTAACAGTGAAAGCTGTACTTGGCTGAGGATCCATTTTGATGGAAAACCAAAACAAATAGATTCACTCAAGGTTCACAAAAAACTATAAACGTAACAACAAACACAACGTAACAAAACTTTAACAAAAACCCAACAAAATAACAAAATATCAATTCGCAATGAAACAAGATATTCGTGCAGTCAGACTGGGAGAATGAAGCCGAATGACAAGATAAACAAAATGGCGATAGCTGCACGAGCGCGCACGGGCTGCCAATACAGAAAACTATCTAGGCTCTTTTATTATAAGTTTTGTTTTTAATATAAAAAACAAAAAATATTAACTTTTTATAAAATAAAGCAGCGGTTACTAATTAATAAATAATAATTATGAATAAATATGTATTTATTTAAATAAAAATCAATAATTTAGTCTTTAATTGGCACACCAATATTATGATTACATAAACATAAATCGCGATTGTTTATCGATTTTTGTGTTCATCACTACACTATTATATGTGGTGTCATTATTTTACAAAATGACAGTAGCTAATGTCAAATGTGGAATCGAATTATTATACCTAGTATAGGCAAGCGGAACATCTCATCAGAACCCTTCCCCTTCTCATCAGAAACATAACGTATGTAAACACTAACTCTCGGAAGGCACAAAGCAGTTCTTTTAAAAGTAAAAAGTTATGAGATCTAATTATTACTTAACTTTTAGGAGCCGCCAAACGTGCGAAATCCGTCTGGATTTGACAAATTCTGGAACAAAGGTCCTTATCGCGCGTTTCATGCTCTAAGCGCGAGACTCAAAAATGCGTAACAAGACTTTTTTCCGAAACTTCTTGCGGAACTTCGTTCCGACCAGGGGTCCATAGACCCCTCACGCCGTTTAATTTTTGCAGAGGTTTCATGGTTTTAAGGCGTTAATTGAAAATCCTTTAGATTCTTACATTAGATACTATATTACATTAGATACTATAATTTTAAGCAAATAAAATGAAAAATGTAAAGTAAAGCGCTTTCAGAAGTGGATTGCCTGCTCGACATGTACACAGTTAATTTGCCAATTTCATCGCTTTACTTTTCTGTGCTAAAATGGTAATTATTGTCTTAAAAACAAAATTTCCATTGTGCAAGGCATAATCGTAATGAACTAGTAACGGGACATAACTGTAAAAAAAAAAATGTATACCACCCACTCCGCATGACGCTTGCAAGTTGAAAAGGATTTAAACAGATTTAATCAATAATCTGATCAGTTTTAAAATAACACCCCGTAAAAAGGAATTTACAATTCTAATAGCGCTTTGTTTTTCTAACCATCAGTGTGAACATTAACCATTTTAGATTGAAAATCTGTACTTGTATTTGCCAGTGAATGGCAATGTTGAACGGTGGATGTGGCTAATGGGATGGCACTTTCAAACCAAATAAGGCACTTAGACTTCTAAACGTATTTATTTTTAACTTTACATTTTTTGAATGGATATAATTTATAAAAAATACACATGCTATAAGCTATTTTTACAGAATACCAAGAATATGACAATTCAATCTGAAAAAATAACACTCCAAATTAAAAGTAATTTAAACCTTTATGTATTATAAACCAAACAGATCAGAGTTGACATCAAAAGAGTATGTACATACAAACCAACATATCTGTGAACTGAAAGAGGACGGCACCGTCGATTCAGTGTTGCTAATTAATATAAGGTGTCCAAAATTGAGTAAGTTTTCAAGAAAGAAATTTTACATTAGACATAATCGTTTAATAAGAATTAAAAACAAAACAAATTAAAAATAATGATACCCGGCGGGGTGACGGTGCGAGGGGATTTCCACACGATAAAAGGCTACTAGCAGGCTTTGCGGTTGAGGTATACAAGGGTCGATAGAACCTCTCTATCTCCGTAAGTACCTCTTGCCTATTCGACGTTACACTCCCCTCTTCTGTCTTCAGCTTCGTCAACTGGCTTTTCCCAATAGACGCCTCTCTTGCGAACACTTTAGAGCCTTTGTTTCGCTCTATCGTCTCCTTAATAGTGTTAGTATTAAAGGAGCGGAGATCGTGTCGCAGAGAATTCCATATCTGTCTATTGAGCTGCCGATAGGACTTAGATCGGAGGTTTGGAGAGTCATAGAACGTCGCCGGGCCATGAGGTCCCGGGTATGGTCGGATAGTTTCTGAGGTATATCTTTTCAGTGGAGTCTGAAGAACTTCGACCCAACCTCATGGATACTTTCTACCAGCCTGCTATTGATTTCGTCCACTGATGTGCAGCTATCTAGGCATTCGAAGCGATTTTGCAATTCGAGTTGAAAGCTTTCGGGGTTTTGGATCTGAGCAATCGAAGGTCGGAGCGTGGACTTCATTAGACGGGCGCGTTCCAACTGAACGTCTATATTCAGTGTGCCTCTAACCATTCGGTGATCACTTCCGGTTTTCACCCTGTGAACCACGGAT